AGGACTGCTCCTATGACCGTGAAAATGGCACAACAATCAGTAGGGGTGTTCAAATGGTTAACATGGTTATAACCAAACTAAATAAGACTAAATTTCATTAACCATGGAATACAATATCATAACCAAACCGTCCAAACTAATACAACAACCAAATTAACCAAATTAAAGTTTAATCGGTTTGGTTAATTGGTTAACCAGATTAACCAATATAAAATCACATTATCATTGACGATGAAAATTTTCCGGTTAATGCAACAATTCGCAATTTATATAATGAATAAAACATAACAACCAACACGTAGTTATAGTTGAACCTTAACAAAAATACATGCAACTAAGACAATTATTTTACGATTAGTATAGAAGTATTCACCTAACAAAAATTGATGACAATGGTATGGGTTAATGAATTGTTGTGTTTGTGTAAATTGACTTAGTCTCTTAGCAATTATCAATTTATCATAGGTTGGAAATGACCTTCCTTTCAAGTTTTCATCCATCATAATATATGAAATTTATCTAAATTAGGCGTCCATATGTTGTGGTTTATATTTTACATATACAAATATACACTATATGAGCAATATTGAGCTTTATATTTTATGAGTCTAAAAGAGATAAACGTTAACTCTTGAGTGGTTATGCAAAGTATTAAGTATGTGTATATAATATATGTTAGATATATGACTAATTACTTAACTGGTTAATTTGGTTTGACTGGTTAGGAGTGTCTGAAACCAAACCAAACCACCTAAACCAAACAAGCTAAAAACTTTAACCAAACCAAACCAATTATCCAAATTAACCAAACCAAATTATCCAAATAGTACTGATTAAAACGATTACCATGGTAACCAAACCGTTTGAACACCCCTAACAATTAGATGACCCTCTCGTTGGTCTAATTCAACAACTTTCAAGATAGAGAGGTCAAGCTCAGATTCTTGAATGAACTCAATTCTAAATGCCAGCAGACTCCACTGCCCATTTGTGTTGCCGGTGATTTCAACATGGTCCGCAATCATGATGAGTATAGAGGGGCCAGGCGGAGCTCGAATATCATGTCAGAGTTTAACAAATTCTTTGACTCTAATGCTTTGTTGGAGCTGCCGCTGGGAGGAAGTAAGTTTACTTGGAGTCGGGGCGGTAACAATGAGAGTCTTTCGCGCATTGACAGAGCCTTTGTTTCGCCCAGCTTTGACAATTTGTTTCCGGACTGCACTTTGATGGCCTTCGAGCGGCTGGAATCAGATCATAACCCTCTGCTTCTGCAATGGGGTAGGAATGTCAGGATCAAGAGGCCTTGGAGATTCGAAAACATGTGGTTGGAAGACCCGAGGTTCTTTGATAGCTTAACTTCGTGGATGAGCACCATTTTGCAGGGTTGGGGATCCGCCTTTCTGTGGTCTAGGAGGCTGATTGACTTAAAAAACAAGGTGAAGGTTTGGAACAAGGAAGTTTTCGGTGATATCAATGTGAAAATCACTGAGTTGGCTAACAAAGTCTCTGAGTTGGACAGGATGGAAGAAAGCAGGTCTCTTTCAGAAGAGGAGGTTGCCGCTAGGGAATTTCTCAGAGTGGAGGTGGGCAGGGTTCTTTTTTTACAGGAAATTTCGTGGAGACAAAAGTCGAAGGAATTATGGCTTAAACTGGGTGACAATAATTCTGGTTTCTTTCATAGAGCAGCTAACTATCGCCGGAAATTAAATCTGATTGAGTGTATCAAAATTGATGGGGTTATGGTTGAAGGAAAGGAGGAGTTGGCTGCTGGTATTGTCCGGTTTTATTCGAATCTTTTCAAAGAAACGGTTGGAGCAAGACCTTTCCCTTCCTTGTTCGCTGAGAGCAGTGTTTCTCTGGAGGACAATAGTCTTTTATGTCACCCCTTCACTGAAGTCGAGATATGGGCATGCATTAGTGACAGTGATGGCGGCAAAGCCCCCGGTCCCGACGGGTTTACTTGGGAATTTTACAAGAGGTGTTGGCCGTGGATCAAAGGGGAAGTAGTTAGCGTCTTCAATGAATTCTTTCTCAGTGGTAAGCTTCCAAAGAGTGCCACACATTCTTTCATTTGCCTGCTGCCCAAAAAGGATGCGGTTGAAGAGATTAAGCACCTGCGACCGATTAGTCTTATGGGAAGTATCAACAAGCTTATCAGCAAGGTTCTCGCTCGCAGACACGGAGTTGTGCTTCCTAAGTTGGTTTCTCGTAACCAGTTTGCTTCCGTGAGAGGTAGGCAGATTGCCGAAGCAGGCCTTGTGGCTTTTGAATTGGTGGACAGCCGTCGCAAAAGCAGAAAACCAGGCTTGATGTTTAAGCTTGACATAGAGAAGGCGTTTGACAACGTCAGCTGGGATTGTTTGTTTAGAGTTTGTCATAGTTTGGGTTTCTCGGAGAGATGGCAGAAGTGGATCAGAGGAGTGATGTGTTCTCCGATGCTCTCGATTCTGATTAATGGGGAAGCCACAGGATTTTTCGAGGCACAGAAAGGGCTTCGGCAGGGTGACTCGCTCTCGCCTGGGTTGTTTGTCCTTGTTATGGATATTCTTTCCTTTATGATCAGCAGGCTGAAGGGGGGTGGAAGGATCAGCGGCTTTTGCATGGACGAAAGGAATGGGCTTGGTGAGGTTACCCACCTACTCTTCGCTGACGATACTCTGATCTTCTGTGACGCCTCGTGTGACCAGGTTCTTAATGTAATGGCGACTCTTGCGTGTTTCCAAGCGGTTACAGGATTGAAGATTAACCTGGAGAAGTCTGTTATGTATACAGTTGGGGATGTGCCTAATCCTGAATTCTTTGCAAATATTGCGGGCTGCAAGTGGAGTAGTGATGTTTCTAAGTATCTCGGATTTCCATTAGGCGCCAAGACGAATGCTGTGTCCATTTGGGATTCTACTGTTGACAGGCACCAAAAGAAGCTTGAGGGATGGAAGGCCCGTTTTCTTTCCACAGGAGGTAGGCTTACCCTCTATAAATCTGTTATGGCCAGCCAACCTGTTTATTACTTCTCCCTTTTTCGAGCCCCGTCAACAGTGGTGAACATATTGGAAAAGGTGCAGCGCCGGTTTCTTTGGAGTGGGAGTGGGGAGTCTCAGAAAACCCCATTGGTTAAGTGGGATGTTTGCAAAGCACCCAAAGAGCAGGGTGGCTTGGGGGTGGTGGATATGGCTTGTTTTAACAGAGCTATGCTCGGGAAATGGCTCTGGCGTTTTGCGGTCGAAAAGGATAGTTGGTGGCGAACCCTTATTAATATTAAGTATCCCAATGCCCTCTCCCAGTGGCATACGGGCAGGAGTGATCGTGGGTTTGCAAGTTCTGTTTGGGCTAACATCTCCAAAGGCTACGAAGAATTCTGGAACTTGGCTCATATTGATCCGGGTAGTGGTCACTGGACTTCTTTTTGGCATGATGGTTGGATCCCAGGTGTGGTTCTTGCTGATGGTTTCCCTCGCGTCGCAGCCGCCGCCTCCAACCGGGCTGCTCGTGTCTCCGATTTGATGACGCGCACTGGTGAGTCTGTTTCTTGGGATATTCCTTTATCTTTCAATCTTAGAGGGGGGGCTGAGAGGGAGAGGGTGTCTCTGTTGAATTTACTTAATAGTGTTGGTACTCATAGGGTGACCAGCGTGCCTTGTAGGCCGGTTTGGTCGCCGGACCCAGATTCCTCGTTCTCTGTTCGTTCCATGTACAGGTGTTTGACGAAAGACCGCTTCCCCGGACTGCAGAACTTTCCTGCGGACTCAGTTTGGCGGAGGATTATTCCCAAAAAGGTGTGCTTCTTCGTTTGGCTCCTGGCCCACGAGCGTGTTGTCACCGTTGACGTGCTTCAGAGGCGGGGCATCTCGTTGGCTAATAGATGTGCAATGTGCAGCAAGAAGGAGGAGGATGTGAACCATCTGTTCGTGGAGTGTGAGTTTGGGCGTGATGTTTGGACCAGGTTGAAGAGAGCGCTTAGCCTGCGTGCTCCCACTACTACAAGCATCTCTATGTTCATTCGAACGGGGGATTGTGACTCTCCTGACAGCTTGGCCGGTTGGATCAGATTTTGCTCGCTTCACGCTGTTTGTTGGCAAGTGTGGCTCGAGAGGAATAGGCGCGTTTTCAATAACTGTTCGTCTTCTACCCAGGTTGTGGCTCGCAGGGCCCTTACAAACATGTTCGACTGGGCTATTGCGAATGGTAAGATTGATAAAGAGGTTGGGGAGAGATGCTTGAAGGACTGGGTCGTCATGATTTGATGCGGTCCAAGTCTGTTTGCTCGTGAATTTGCTTGCAGGATGGGTCGCCGGGGTTAGCGTGCGTTGCGCGCTCTGCCCTGCTCGGGGTTCTTTCTTCTTCTCTGTCTCGTTTTATTTCCCCTTTTCTGGTGTTTCTTCGACTGCTGTTTGGGCCGCCCTTCTGCTTGGGTACAGGGAAAGTCTGTGTGCTTTGTTCTCTCTTTTTTTTTTTCTCTTTTTCTTCCCTGCAGGCGATCAATCTGGTTTGATCCCTCCTTGTACAGAACTCTTCTTCCGTTTCCGGTTTAGTAATGCATTCACCCTTATAAAAAAAAAAGTAATCAAAGACTTGAATGCTCTAAGTTGAGACAGAACCTGACCGCATCACAACTCTTTGTCTATGAACGATGCAGCGAAGACGTTCACGACGGGAAAAATTATGGGGCTATACTCAATAAGTTTATCGCAGTTTTGTTCATCAACTATGTCTAAACTCAATAAGTTTATCGCAGTTTTTGGAGAAAGAGAATCTTCCATACACATACTAACGTTGAAAGCTACCGTAGGGATGTCTGATCCAACAAAATAAATAGAGCAACTTCCCCTAGACGAGCATGAACGCTCTCAAGAGCTCACTACACAACCATACCTTCCAATATGCATCTCTTAGTACTACAAATTCCCGACCAAGGCCAATTCTTCACACATCCAATACCCAAAACGCATACAAAACAACTTCAGAAACGCTTCCTTTATTTGCAATGTTATTCCAGAGTTAACAAATGAACAAGGGAAAATAGAAAGAAACACCAATTTCCCAGTATGTCGTCCAACTTGCATAGTTCAAGCAAATTATAAATGGGTGAGGTAAGACTGACCCGACTGTAGTAGAGTTAGTCCTGCTCACAAAAATGAAACTCCAGATGATGAGGTCACTCAGCTCAAATGCACCAATATATCTATCTGCAGCCCCGGTTGGTTCTGATTCTTTTCTTTTTTTAAGTCCTTGTAGAGCAGTAACGGATGCCATTGTATCCCTTCACCTCAAACTCTCCCCCTCGGGCCGGCCTCCTTAACTCGGTATGGCCACAGTACTGTACTTCATAAACAGTCTTATCAACTGAAAATGCAGAGAACGAGACTCCAACTCCTTCCCCTGAGAATCATCAAGCATTTTCATCTCGTAAACCATCTCAGCTTTGGAAGAGCAAATGTAATGAATGAACAAACAAGCAAGCAAGCTCGCCAAGTGGTTGTATCTAGTTACAGTTCATGGCAGGACATGAAAGCAACAGAACAGTCATCCTTCCAAAAAGACCCACCAAGATAGGGACTTACCGTGAGATACAAGCAGCAAGTTTTCAGCAGGGTACTTATCAGCAAGAGCCTTGATGATTTCAGTGTATCTAGTTCTGGCAGCCGCGACTGATTCTCCCCATTGGGGCATCTAAAAGAAATGGAATGAAAAACCAAGCGAGGTGAAGAACCAGAACCAGAACCATAAATCGTATTCGAATTTCTAATCCATCGTCATGTGACTCAAATTCTTGATTCGTATTCTAGTTGCAATCAGAAGCAGTACCTCTTCATATACCCGTTTGACGGTGTGATCCACTGTCCCGGCTGGTAGCAATGCCTCCAGCTCCGGGATATTGAAGGCAAAATCTCCGCTTGGAGGAGCGCATTCGGGTTTAATGGCCTCCGTGTTCAGCATCTCGCACAATCCAAACTCAATGGCCACCTGTAACGTATTTGTATCGTTCCCCCCACCTGTAATCAGAAAATGGATCGAGGAGGAAATCGGAGGAGAAGGGAAGGAAGGGGGCACGAGACCTTGATTTTAGAGGGATCGATAGCGACGCCGTCAGCGGAGCAGAGCGCTGTCACAGCCTGCGCGGCGGTTTGGACGCAGCGGAGAAACGGGGAGACGAAGACGCGGTGGATGGGGAAATCGAGACTAGCCCGTAAGTGGCGGCCGGTGTCGAAGGCCCTGGCGAGGCCGGCGTCGACGAGCGGCGGGTCCCAGGGCCTGGCGGCGGTCTTGGTCCAGTTCTCGTCGAAGTTGTCCATCCGGTCGCCGTGCCGCATTACGACGACGTTCTGGTACCGCTGCTGCAGATCTCCTTCTCCAGGGTGATTGGGGTTCCGTGCCGGAGAAGAAGATTCCATGGCGGCGAGGCGGGGACCGTTGTTCTTGTTTCCTTCACAACTGGAAATGTGGGAAAAGGTACCGAGTCCGAGCGGGGGATTGGTATTGGTCGGAGGAGGTAGAGAATGGGGAGACTATTAGAAGAGCGGAATATTTGAGAAAGAAGTGAAACTTCTTGTTTCCTTCGACCAAAATAATATTCTTGCTTCTTGATTGACAGTGCGCGGCGCAGCGTGCTTTCCAGGAAAAGATGAACAATTAGAAATCAAGCCTCCCTCTATATTGAAGTTTCGCCAGAAGTTAAGAGTTTATCGGGGGAAAAAGGACTAAAAGGACCAAACCACCACTCCATCCAGCGTTTTTCATTGAAAACTGCGCCTTCACCCAAAGGTTTTCGTGTAAACCATAGAGTGGGTTGGCGGTTTTCGAAAAAGAGTTGTATTTTTGGAATTTTTTGGAGTTGGGTGGTATTTTTGTAATTTTTTTTAAACAGTGCTATTTCTGAAAAAAATCTCTAAATCTGGATAGCCATTAACTTTAGGGTGCACCTATGGGGGAAAAATTCCAAAATACACACGTTATTAAAAAAAATCTCAAAATACATACGTTATAAAAAATATTCCCAATCTACACATGTTTGGACTTCACCGCGGCCGTCAACCGCAGTGAATAACATCACCGCGGCCATCAACCGCGATGAATGCTTCACCGCCATTGCCCGAAGTGGTAAATATCATCCTGTCCATTCACCGTTGGTGTCCCAAACGGTGATGGCCTAAAGCGGTAAATATCAACCATGCTTTCTGACGACCTCCCCGACAGTGGCACATCTGTTCCCATCTTAACAGTGGCGCCGCAGCCGCCGACCTCTCGGCTCGCGTCCGAAGGACCTTCAGATGATTCATCTACGCTGTAGACCACATCGTGATACAGATTCGTCGAATAGCGACCAAGAGCAATCGGCAACGTCCAAATTGGCATCGGAAGATGATTGGGAAGGCGGAGGCGGAGGTGGCCGGTCCTTGGGTAACGATAAATCTGAGGAAGGTCTGGGGAAATTCTCATCCGGGCCGAGTTCCAAATCGAGGCCGAAATTGGAGCATTCAAGGAGCACGCCAGAGTGAAGGAGGTCGGGACAGGAGACGACGAGCTTGTGGAGCGCAGACCAACCGTCGGGGGAATCGGGAGAGGGTAGGAGATCGGCAACGACGGCGGGGATGGTGGCTTTGCATTTGGATTTCCAGCATGCGTTATGGAGAAGAGAGGAGAACTTGGAGCAGGCGAGGCCGGCCCAGTTGCGAGGGTCATTTTGAAGCTTGAACAAGATTTTGGGGAGGTCGTCGGAAAGCAGGGTTGATATTTACCGCTTTAGGCCATCGCCGCTTGGGACACCAGCGGTGAATGGACAGGATGATGTTTACCGCTTCGGGCAATGGCGGTGAAGCATTCATCGCGGTTGACGGCCACGGTGATGTTATTCACTGCGGTTGACGGCCGCGGTGAAGTCCAAACATGTGTAGATTGGGAATATTTTATAACGTATGTATTTTGAGATTTTTTTTAATAACGTGTGTATTTTGAGAATTTTTCCGCGCCTATGGTGCCTTGCAAGTCCACATAACTTCACTTTTCAGTCTACTTATGCCTACACGCAGCCGACCGAATTCACCATCGTGGTCACTCTACCGAAACCTCACGGTCGACCTTACATAGCATAGTAATCGACCGTGTTTAGTTAGTCGATAGCTTAATGGTCGACCCAATAAATTTTCGGTCGACCTTTCAATTTAGTCAGAAGCAAAATGGTGGACCGTAAAGTACAACAAGCGGTCGACCAAATACAATACCAAAGTACTATCTATTCATCCATTCCCATTGACGTGAAACGTAGATCCAAATTGTTGGTTTCGCGGTCGACTGCATATAGCAAAAGGTTGACTTCGTATAGGAAAATCAACGTATAACCTTCAACTTTTTTGCTTTATGTATGTCGATGTGTGTGTTAGTTTGCTCGTAAAAACTACGTTTGAAACCAACAGAATCATTACTCAATCATGATATCAAGAAACCATAATTTCATAACATAACACCTCGACATACTAACAAAAAATGCAATAAAACACAACTCATAATTGTTCACACATACCTAAACTTAAAAACCACATAACACCAATTGACGATCATAGTTGTTTCAAACCAAATGGTTTTTAAGACAAAACAACAAAAGAACACAATCTAAACTCATGGAGTTCCTACATCTCTCCCCCTTCTCACTCATCCACATTTTTCTCATTAGTGGTGCTCGCATTATGGTAGTCGGATGTGGTGCGATGCATGTATCTTCCACTGAAAGAGCGGAACTCGCCTCGCATCTCTGTTACAGTCAGCTGCAATCTGCTCATCTTGGTGGTCATCTGCCCCATGTAATCGTACATGTCAGTCATCTGGGTGGACATCTGTCCCATGTAGTCGTACCTGGCATCCATGCGGTCCCATATACGTTGTAGGGTGACTAGTAGAGTTGAACTTTATGGCTGGGCCATTGGCTCGTCTCCAGACTCTTCATCATCACCATCACCAACATCATCATCATCACCACCAACATGGACTACATGAGGATTGTATGCTCGGACATACTCACTATCATGCAGCTCATCCCATTTTTTCAGGGATGTAACTATATAGAACTCCTTTCTTGAAACTCTTAAGTCAACCTCACCACTTAAATCCACATTAAAATGCTCAAATAGCAAAGTGATGATCATCCCACAGAGAAGATTCATGTTTGAACTTAGCAAACATGTATGTAAAGATTTAGTATGACAAGTTAACCTTCTCATGTGAAAATAGGTTGGTGAGAATCTCCATGTCAAAGTAGGTGACTACCTCCCGATGTTCACCCTTTGAAAGAATGTTGTAGCATTTTTAATTATCATTATCCTCTTTTGAATACTTGATAGCAAATCAATTTTTCAATAGAAAATTTAGAATCAATTATCTTTATAAGTATTTTCAATTATCATTATATGTTATTAAATAATTTTCTTAAGCAAATATATCTTATGAATTATATCTTGATATAAATAATATGAGAATGTTATATTTAGTTCTCTTACATGATAATGTTGTCTAATTTCCTATGTTAAATCTTATTTTAATTCTCTAATATTATATTGGAGATGTTTCATATTAGTTAAATTTTGTAATTCTAATTCTCTTCCTATAATTATATTTTATTTTCTACATTTGTAGCTTTAATAGTTCATTTATTACTTGGTTACTTTTCGTCTCTTTTCGTTCTAAATGTTTTCTTCAAATACTGGAATATGTTTTATTCCTTATGGTTGTGTTCCATTTATCTTTCTTTGATTTTGATGTATTGATGATCCATTAGATTTTATTTTAACTTTTGTTAATGGTGCTTCTAATTGAATTAGGTTGTTTAAATAGATATTCTAATATTAATTTTAAATATTTATTTATTATATTCTAGTGTACTTATTATTTTTCTTAATATTCGTTTAATATTTTTACTAATTTATCTATTTTATGAAAAAATTTGATTAGCCATTTTAGTAATAATATGTTTAGAAGGTTTTCTAATTTTTATATTAAATAAAATTTGTTGAAATATAGTTTTGAATGTTTTTAAAATTTTTCGGTACCAAAAAGTAAGTAAAAGTTTTGGTTGGATGAAAAAATAGATGGATACACATATCGATTATTTTAATGATACCCGACGCCTTATTTAAACTTATGATATGTTATATGTATATTTTATTTCTCAAACTTAAGTAGTACCAGAAGTATTTTATCGATATATAAGATCGTCTCTCAAGCAAAACGGAAACCTCTATGCGAAGGGAGAGAGACGAGCAGTTGAAAATTCTTCAGTAGCAGGGGACAACAACCGCAGACTCTCTCCCTGCCGAAGCGGATTCCTTCCTCGTAAGTCTTGTCTTGATTATTTGTTCCTCTCTTGTTTTGGATCTCCTACTGCTATAGATCTTCCTTTCTCCCCCTCTTGATGGTGTCATTGACTGTCTTCCTGTAGCTCAATTCGAACTCGTGGAATTAGTGTTTAGGGTTTCCTAGAGCTCTCCTTGTGTTCTGGCCTTCGGCCAAAACTTTGACTTTGTTGGGATGTTGAGTAGTTTCTTTAAGTTAGGGTTCGCTCTTGTTTCCTTTCCTCTTTGTTGAGTCTGTTGCTGTGCTTGGATCAGGGGTTTAGAGTCCGACTTGGAATGTTGGTGGTTAAGAGATGAAATGTGGAAGCTTGTTTAATTTGTGGCCTTTGTGTCGTGATACATCAGACCAGGCTGTATGAGAGTAATAATTGCTCGTTTTTAGTTGCAAGTGTAGTTGCTGTATGAAAACGCATGCGGTATTGCTTTGAAATGAGTGGGAAGATACTGTCGTATGTTTCAGTTCCTTCCTCAAATGATTCTATACTCTTGGACTCGGGGTTTATGTTTTGCTTTATTTGACTGTGGTGTTATGTCTCTGCTGTGCTCCTTTTGCTAAAACTGTTCATTTAATGCACATGGTGCAGACTGAAGTGCTGCAACCATGTTTGGGCGTGGAGTTCCTAGGAGCAGTAGCGATAATTCCAAGTACTATGATGTTCTCGGTGTCCCAAAGACCGCTAGTGCTGATGAACTGAAGAAGGCCTACAGAAAATCTGCCATTAAAAACCATCCAGACAAAGGTGGAGATCCTGAGAAGGCAAGGCCAAATTACATTTTCACGAGTCTTGTTTGAATTTCTATTTGGCACCAAGCTATCACATACACTCTTCCGGTTCCTTAGCATTTTGACTCGCCAAGGCTTGGTGTCTAATCTTGCAGGCATGACATGTCAAATTTATGCCATGATGGGCCTGGATAGTAGGTGCTGTTATAGTTCTCTTCTAGTTTTTGTTGGGTAGCCCTTGGAAAAATTCATGTTTTGTTGGGTCTCATTTACATGAAATTTGAGAGCTTGTTCCTTTGTTGGTCTAAAGCTTGTTCCTTTACTTTCCTAATAAACTGAGCTATAAGGGTTATGTTAATTGAAGACGGGAGGGGAAAGTTTATGCTTTGAGTTTGAGCATAATCTCTCTTAACAACCTTTTATTTGGTTGTTGATGTTTATGAAAATCTTAATACTTTTGCTGTTTGCATAGCGGTTTATTTTGTGGAAGCTTTGTCTAATGATTCAGTTTATCCGTTTTCAGTTTAAGGAGATATCCCAAGCTTATGATGTTCTCAGTGATGCTGAGAAAAGAGAAATCTATGACCAGTATGGTGAAGAGGGCATCAAGGAGGGAATGGGGGGAGGTGGTGGTGCTCATTCTCCTTTTGACATTTTTGAATCATTTTTTGGTTCGGGAGGTTTTGGAGGTGAGCTATTGTAGGTTGCCTGTCCTTATTTTTCATTCACTTGATGCTTGTTATTGTGTCCAGTTGATTGTTAGTTTTGCTGTAGCCTGTAGGAGCTTAAATTTTGTTTTATTAATCCAAGATAAAAATATGGATGTACATCAGGAGGTGGCAGTTCCAGAGGAAGAAGGCAGAGACAAGGAGATGATGTGGTTCACTCTTTGAAGGTCTCTTTAGAGGACTTGTACAATGGGACGACCAAGACACTCTCACTGTCGAGGAATGCTCTTTGCTCCAAGTGTAGAGGGTATGGTTATTTTCCACCTTATTTGTTCACTGGGTTGTTTATCTCCTTTTCATTGGAGATGCATGCATTGCTTATGAGTTCTAAACGACTTCAATCGGAAGGCTAAAATGAAATCTTAGGGTTCTCATCTAAGTCACAGCTAGTTTCTGTTGCTGTGGTGCTGAAACCAGCTGATAAAAGTGTGATTTGTCATTCCTTTCAGTAAGGGATCAAAGAGTGGAGCGTCTGGGACATGTTATGGATGCCATGGCACAGGAATGAAAGTTACAACTCGACAGATTGGATTGGGCATGTTTCAGCAGATGCAGCATATCTGCCCCGACTGTAGAGGCTCAGGTATTCTATTTCCATGTAGCAGTAGTGGGGTTTGTTTATATTGTTTTTAATTTCTCCCATCAGTTTTCAAAACGCCATCGATTTCCAGGTGAGGTAATCAGCGAGAGGGATAAGTGCCCTCACTGTAGAGGAAACAAGGTCAATAAAGAAAAGAAGGTGTTAGAGGTTCATGTTGAGAAGGGCATGCGTCATGAACAAAAAATAACTTTCCAGGGTCAAGCTGATGAAGCTGTAAGTAACATACCTTGTTTCTGCCCGCATGATCCAGTTAACAGTTTGTTGGTAGCTTAGATTTAGTAACTCAGTTGTCTCGTTTTGCAGCCCGATACAGTCACAGGGGACATTGTCTTTGTGTTGCAACTTAAAGAACACCCCAAGTTCAAGAGGAAAGTTGATGATTTAGAAATGGAACACACGATTAGCTTGACTGAGGCACTCTGTGGGTTCCAATTTGAGCTTACCCATCTTGATGGGAGACATCTGCTCATAAAATCAAATCCTGGAGAGGTGATAAAACCTGGTCAGTGCAAGGCGATCAATGATGAGGGGATGCCTCAGCACGGCAGGCCATTCATTAAGGGGCAGCTGTATATCAGGTTTAAGGTGGAATTCCCAGTGCATGGAGCTCTGTCGCCTGAGCAGTGTGGTACTATAGAGACCATACTGCCATCAAGGTCAGGTAAGAAGTTGAGCGATATGGAGATTGATAATTGTGAAGAGACGACTCTGCATGATGTGAACATGGAGTATGAGGATAGGCGCAGGAAGATGCAGCAGCATCGTGAGGCATATGATGAAGATGATGAGGACGATGATGAGCCATCGATGCAACGGGTTCAGTGTGCCCAGCAGTAGTAGTAGCGTTTAAGTTTACTGTTTTCACGTCTGTCATTCACGGTTGCTTACAGATTGTGTTGTGTTTTCGCCATTCGGTTATTGAATGGCCTGGTTTACTCTGCCCTTAGTGTATCGGCTGCAGATTGTTGTTCCTTATGGCTTAATAATAGTACGATGATGATTATTTTTATATTAATAGTGATATATTTTTCTTCTTGAAATGCTTAGAGTTGTTGCATCTTCCACTATTCAGCTCTCATGCTCTTGTTTCTTCCACGGGGAGGGGATCCATGATTCTGGAGAGTATAGTCTGGAATATGGTTCTTGACGGTCTACTATAAGGTTGCATATGACTCAAACACTGAAAGATCCACAAATTAAACGGATTACATTTACACCCCACCCCCCAGATACAGTAGTTTTTAATTTTTTTGCTTCCAAAATCGAAAGCTTTTATAAAAATTCACATGTTTTCCCGGATGAGATCGTTCAAGTTGTGGCTTATCGGATTGCTTCCTGCATCGCGGATTGGTTGAGGGCCGCGCACAAGGTCGATCCGACGCAGGCGAATGCATGGCTGAGTGTGGTTAAGTCCCGCTTGTTCCCCAGAATCGCTGTGCCCGTGACTCTTTCACTTGCTGCTTCCCCTGCGGATGACATTGACGACTCTGCTTTTCCCGGATGATTTCCTGGCTTTTGCTTGTGCCCTGTGCTCTTTTCCATGTCTTTCCTGCTGGTTTGGGGGCGCTGCTTTGCGGAGAGCTTTTGGGATTTTCTTGTCTTTCCTGCTGGTTTTTGGGATGTTTTGGTTTTGGGCTCGTTGACTTCTTGTTTTGACTTCTTGTTCTGGTTTCTGTTGTAATTTTTCCTTGCTCCTTGTTTTCTATTAATATATTTCACCATTATCAAAAAAAAAAAAAAAAAAATTCACATGTTTTCAGGCGATCGCTAGTGACAAAGCCGATGAATTACTAGATCACTTGAGAAGAAAGCAATGAAAAGCGATGAAATATAAATCGTGTCTCCGTAAAGCGATCAAAGCGTTAGTCGCCTGATCAAACAACGATTTAATGTTTAATCGCCGTTGTCGCAAGCGATCGATAAAATCTCTTTTAAGAAAAGAGATCATGCTTAAATCGTTGTCCTTAACCGCGATTTCATTTGAACAAGAGATTAGGGTTGGTGCATCTGTTTTTTCCATGAAGCTAGGGTTGGTGTAACTGTTTTTCATTGATCGCTTTTGTAGGCGGCGATCATACTGAATCGCCATAACGCGATCAATATTAGGCGCGAGTTAGGATTAGGTGAAGCAACCTAGCCTATATCAAAATTAAGGGTGTGATTAAGTTGTATGATACCCAAATTCATATGATATTAAAGAGAGAATCAACAAGAAAGTCCATTCCCCAGTATCATCACTTCTAAGCCTATTCATGACTAGTATGCATGAGACATAATGAAAAAATCTTTGCAATCAAGTACCAGAAAACAAATTAAAATAAATAAACAAGGTTTCATTTTCAGAACTCATCAAAATTCTCAACTTAACTAAAAAAAATTACAAATTTTATTTTTAGAAAATATCAGTTTCGTTTTTATTTTAATTTGTTTTCTCTTGAGAAGTGAACGGCCCATCAGAATCAGAGGATTCCAATTTTCAAGCGCCTGTTTCGGCTTGCCCCTTTCCCATGTGGCAGATACAGGCTTGATAGGACGGGCCAGGCTTTGAGACATAATAGCTGGCCCGCTGGGCTTTTAGATGGGCTTGAAGAGGACAACTGCAGCGCTGCACTATATCTGCCATGGCCCATTTGCGTACAGCACACCCTGTGAATGTTAGGAAGAGCCGAAGAGGAATACATTTGGTTTTGTGCATTCATTTCTGTCTCCGTCCACCCAACTCAGTGTCCGCTCCGTCACCGTCCGTCCCCGCCCTGCCCGCCGTCTCTCGTCACAATTTGGGGAAAATGCTCGGTCGTCTGGCAGCCACGCGCCTCCTGGAGATCCGTCAAGCTTTCCGGCGAGCTGCTCAGGTCACCAATCACTTCTTCCACTGCTTTTTTTTTCCTTCTTCTCATCCAAGTTTCTACCGTCGACCGATCCAAGTCTCCCGCCGAATCTCATTTCAATGGTTCTAATTTGATTCACTCGTTCGTTCGCCGCAGACTTCCCGTTCCTTCTCAACTGCTCTGAATTATGTGAGTCCTTTGGCATCTGGGAATTTCTTGATTATTTTTCTGTTTGGTTTCCATTTCCGTGATTTTTCTTCTGTAAGAAAATGGTTCATCTTTGTGCAGCACATCGATTCGCCGGATAACAATCCGGACATGCCATGGGAGTTCAATTCCCAAAACCAGGAGAAGGTAATGACTGGAACTGGAAGCTATGCCAATCTTCTGAGCATTTATCTGGGTTTTGCTGATTAGGCAGCTGTTAGTAAGGCGAATTGAATAGTGTTTGATTCCGATGGCACGCTTCTTTCTTTCATTTCTCGCATGTTTAACTAGTTTTACCGCAGTAAAGTGAACCTTTCTCTACCTTCTGAAACTGTATGCGAACCTTATTTCCCAATGTCAGTATTTGGTGTGATATTGGGCGAACTTCTGACCCATATGTAGTGGAAGGGCTGAGATATCCTGGACATTGAACTTGGGGAATAACTGAATGTCTTCTTAACCTTTTTCGTTCTTGGATTTTGTCTGTATCATGGAAAAAAAAACATGACCATTTGATTTGGATCGCGATTGGGGTTGCTTGAAAATCTAGCAGTATCATCTTAGCTCGATTGATGTTTTGACCACAGTTATAATTTATCTTGCTGTCTTTTCTAGATAAGCTGTAGTGTTACAGGATTAACAATTATGCTTCTGTTTCATGTGAATGGATTACTAGGTGATTTAATTCCTCCGAACTGATAGTCTTCAACAATTGTGAACCAATGTAGGATTCTTGCTGCAGTGTCATAAATTTTTGGAACACTTTGTTGGGTCGTTTATGCCTCTCATGTATTACCTGCTTACTGGAGTGCTTTTGTGCAATCAGAAACCCTCGTTCTCTTTTGCGCATTTGTTGAAAATATGATGCCATAGCAATCTATTCTCGCTGTAATAACTCTAGATTAGTTTTGAACATATCTGTTGACATTGTTCTTGAATTTAATCTAGACCTCATGTCTTTGAAGTCCAACTGTGATAGTTTAAGAAATGCTGTTTCTTTTGCAATACTTTTAAACTAGGCTTTGTAGGATAGTAGATTTGTTCTCAAACTTGGCTATAGTTTCTGTGAACATCTGTTGTGTGCAAGAATAACCTCTTTAAGTCATCCAATGACTTCTTTTACCTTGGTTATGAAACAGTTAACCCCTGCTTAATAGTGACTAGAGTAAAATCCGACTAGTTCCATTGGTACAATTAATATACCTATTTGTGCAGCAATGTTTAATCTTTTATTTTTAATGTTTAGCACTCTGTTGTCAGGTTAAAGAGATAATATCTCATTACCCATCCAACTACAAGCAATCTGCAGTAATTCCCCTGCTAGATCTGGCACAACAGCAGCATGGAGGATGGCTCCCAGTTTCAGCTATGAATGCGGTATGAAATTGATTCTATGGCTCGGGTGCCAAATTGAAGTAATATTTATTGGTATGAGAACAACTATGAAGTACAATAGCTTTCTTTTTGCTTTTGACTAGCGTATCAGCACCTTACTATCACAATGTTTTCACTTATTTTTTGCATTGAAAGATGGATCTGTTATTTGAAAGATGAAGTTGTTTTTATTTGACCCTATATCATCAAAACGGGATGAAATTTACCATATGCATGACTCAGGCTGCTGGCATATGGGGATCTAATGAAGGTAGTATGGGAATATTTTCCGTGGAGAGTTTATAAGAAATTATGTATTTTCCAGTGTATTGAAGCTTACCTTTTCCCTTGAACGCCTTTGCCCATGAACTGATAGAATCATAGAATTCAAGTTTGCCCATGAACTGCAACATGTACCAAATTTCGATTTCTAAGATGTTCCGTCATCTTTCTGTGAAATTGCTCCTCTACGGAAAAAGACAGAATTGCTTTCCCCGCATGTGGTATGTGGAGCTGACTAGGTTGTTGGATGATTTTTGTTCTAGTAAAGCAGGCGAATTTCCAGTGCATTTTCTCACTTGTGAATGCTTGACCTTTGCAAGTTAATTGATTTGTTTTGTTAACCGTTTGAAATTCCGAAGACTTTACTCTTGTTCATACTGTATGATGATGTTAGAATAACTCTCTCATCATCAGCTCCCTTGTGAACAACTCAGGTGGCTAAGGTTATTGAAGTTGCTCCAATCCGTGTCTATGAAGTGGCTACATTTTATTCCATGTTCAACCGAACACCAGTAAGTAATCTAATATAATATCTCCTCACAACCCCCACCCGGCTAGTTTACAGTCTTCTGCTATTGTGACGCAACATTACTTGCAATGAACAAATTCTGTCTGTTACTCAGGTTGGCAAGTACCACCTTTTAGTTTGTGGAACAACACCATGCATGATCCGTGGGTCTCGAGAAATTGAAGATGCACTGCTGAAACACTTGGGAGTGAAGCGCAATGGTCAGTTCCAATTGTATAATTTTGTGCTCTTCCATGTGAACCTGAATTTGTGGAGATCCATGTATAGTATAATTTGGTGAATAAGAGTGTAGTGCAATTTTAATGTGCAGAAGTAACAAAGGACGGTCTTTTCTCTGTTGGTGAAATGGAATGTATGGTAAGTCCCGTCTTCGTAGTGGATATAAAGTTGAATCTTTCTCTTTCTCAAGAGACCTTTTGTGGGGGTACTCCTTTATTTGGGACGAGGATAGCTCTTGAATGCTTTTGTTGTTTATTTGACTACTGTATTGACCACAGCATGTCTTTATACTAACATTCATTGCTTGTGCAGGGAAGCTGTGTAAATGCACCTATGATTACCGTTGCAGATTACTCTAGTGGATCAGAAGGATACTCGTATAATTATTATGTAAGTGCATGAAATCTTTCTCTGGCTTTTGACGTTAGAGCGTAAAACATTTGGTGGCCTTGACTTCTTTTGGATGGTTTATTTGCTTCAATTGCAGGAAGACGTCACTCCAAAACGAGTCGTGGAGATAGTTGAGTTGCTGAGAAAGGGGGAAAAGTTGCCAGTAAGGCCTCTATAGTTTTTCTGTTCTTCAATGGCTTTCATTAACCGTGTGAATGCTTTAAATCTAATTTCTCCTCGCTTCAATTTTCAGCCTGGAACGCAAAACGCAAAACGTATCATGAGTGGACCAGAAGGAGGCAATACTACTCTGCTCACTGACCCAAAACCTCCTCCATGCCGTGATCTTGATGCATGCTAAGTAGTGGTAAATGTCAGCTTCCAATAATGCAAAAGCTTTTCAGGTATCGGAGCTTCATCATCATGCTGCTCTTTGTTGTTCCCTTTTAAGGATAACCAATTGTTTGTACTTTCATGATTGCCACCTAGTACTTGGCAGAATATATGAAGTTGTGACGCAATTTCGTAGTGTTGCTAGAAGGCTTACCAGAACAGTCCGTCATGGTTGGTTTCCATAAATCCTTGGCTCATTTGGATTGGGATGATGTGTTTTATATGATGCTGGATGTGGCACCTGCACCCAGAATGTTCATCTTAACTTCTTAAGCCATGAATAAAATCGTGTGGTGGATTGACAAGTAGTCATTCCGAGGCAAGGGTTTTGCCACTCCATTCCATGTTGTGGTGTTAAGTTGTCTCTTGCTGTCAAGTAGTCTCTTGTCGTGAAAAAAACTAGACATATGTTGAAGTAAATTATATTTTATTAGAATTCAAACAACATTGTACATTTTGATGCCTTTCACGTGGTTTATTTGTTTGAAATTTTAATTAGTTATATAATATTTTTATGGTGTAGAATAATTACAGTTTTTTATGTTAGGTTGGATTCTTACTTAAAAATATCGACAGCCCAACTAGAAAAAAATTAATAAGGTTTTAAATTTTTTGGATGAGTTTGGATTTTATATTTTCCTAAGCATAGTGTATGGGTCTGGTGATTACAATGGCTAAACCCGGACCACCCGACCCATGTACACCCCTACCAGTCATCATCATTCATCAACTCTCACTCTCACTTTCAATTTTGATTATTCATGGAAAAATTCAAATTCTCCCCATCTAAGAACCCTAAATTCAATTCTCCAAAATTGATCAAGTAAAAGATGAAAGCACACATGAAGACTAAACTAGGATTAGTAGGGAAGCTGAAGAGAAGGGATAGGAGTCGAAATTGGTAGAAAATTTGGCCGGAAGAGGTCAATTGTCACGGTTAGGAGACCGTGACAATAACAAAGTGAACGTGATCCTGACAAAAAATAGTGAGTTAAGGCAATTATCACGGGCAATTGCCCATGACAAATTCCCTTTGGCCGTGATGTCTGCAAATCGGGGAGATGCCAACATATATCACAATCTCTGTTACATTATCACGGTATGATGACCGTGATAATATGCATAAAACCGTGGAATCAATCACTCAACTCAAACAAAAAGAGAAAAATAAAGAAAAGAAATATTAACCGATGTTAGGTTGCTTCCCAACAAACGCTTGTTTTACGTCATTAGTCACTCTCCGTTAGTATTTGTCCAACTCCGTTAATAAAGCCCGTTATGTGCTGACATGGCTAACGGAAACGCGCAGTCAGCGTCGTTTTGAGATGAAAATGATCAAACCGTACCTGACACGTCACTAAACCCGCGATGTCATACACCCAACCCAAGAACCTAACCCTACCCAGATCCAAACCCGAGCAAACCTAACAAAACAAAATTGCAAAATGACCACAACCTGGTAGAGCTCAAATTAAACCTTCTCCGCCTCATATTTGGCGCTCCTCCGCCGGCGACATCTTCCTCGTCATCCCCGACCATCCTCAAGCTCCGGCTGTCGTCCGACCTCTCCACCACTTATATCATTTCCCCCTCCTCCCCATTTCCGCTACTCCCACTCCCTTCTTCTTCACAACTCCCCGCGCCGCCGCTTGCTGACGTCACCATCTCCATCATCAACGCTCCTTTCCTCTTCTTCTTCTTCCGCTGCCACGGGATCCTGACGAATGCAAGAGCCAAGAAATTAATGACCGTGAGGGGGCAGCAGCAGAGCGCCCCACAGTCGCCTATCGCCCCCGCCGTGCACGACGAGCTGCAGCAGCATTAAACCCAACAATCAAGATCCAGGAGCGAAAAGGGGAATCAGGATCCAAGAGCTTCGACTGAGAAATCCTCTTCTCTTCCTCGCCTCATCCAACTCCTGCTGAGAATTAAAACCCAACAATCTATTTCCCCAAACTAGGAACGGCAAGGGCAGGTCCGGGGCGGGTATTTCGATACCCATACCCGCCCGTGGCAGGTCGGGTAATTTATCATGGGGAGCGGGTCGAGGCAGGTCGACTCAACGAGAAAATATTAGAAATATTCGTTATTTTCATTATAAGACCAAAGAAACAAACCGTAATATGGTAAATTAGCTAAATTATTGATTAAATTGAGGTTTTCACTAATTATAACTTTATTATAGCTAAAATATGATGTAGTAAAGGGAAAATCTTAAATAATTTGACTAAGATTACATGTAATTTATGCAAGAACGGGTCAAAAATGGGTGGGGTTTCGGTGAGAGTATCCATACCCGTCCTGCGCTGCCCCAAAATAGGCCAAACAGGTCGGGTAAAACGGTTCAGGTCAAAATTGCCAACTCTACCCCAAACCTAGAAATTCTCTTCTTTGCATCTGCCGACTCCGCCAGAGAATCAAACCCAGAAATCAATTTCCCCAAATCTAGAACCCAGAAATCCCCTTCTTTCTCAAATCCCCACACCCTGTTCACCATCTTATCATCGATTCAGCGATCTCGCTAGTCTCCTCCGCCCCTTCCCGACTCGGACCACCACCCCAAAATCAGTGCCGCCAAATATTTCCAACCTAGGAAGAACTTGTTGCCGATAGATCTTTTCAATTTAACGTAGCGCTTGTTCTATCCGATCAAATTTTGAAAATTCATGGAAGGATGAGGTAGCAATAGAGTTTTAGAACCACGCCTCCTCCGTCGCAGTGTAATAGAAGGGGAAGCGGCGAGGGCGCTTGTGAGAGGTGGAGGTGGGAAAATGAGGAACGAGAGGAAGGCGAAGTGGTTCGAGAGGATGAGAGGGGTTGTGTTTTGCGGGGAAGAGTTTGGAGAAGACGTCATTGATGAAGCTCGATCTCTGCTGACAAAGCACGATGGGAATTGGGAGATTAGGGTGAGCAGATTGAAGAAGAGAAACTGAAATAGATCCATTTTGCAATTTTGTTTTGTTAGGGGCTCGGGTTTGTTTCTGGGTCGAGTTGGGTTCATGTGATGGGTTGGGTGTATGACATGACGAATTTAGTGATGTGGCGGGTCTGGTTTGACCATTTGTGGCCCAAAACTACTAGGCGCTCCCGTTAGCCATGTCAGCACATAGCGACTTTATTAACAGAGTTGGACAGAGACTAACGGAGAGTGACTAAATGTGACTTGTTTCAGTAATTCGAGTGCCTAACATTGATACTAATTTTTTCTTTCTAGTGACTAAACATTACGCATTTTAGTAATTGCAGTGACAAAACGTGGCATTTACCCAAAGTTCAATAGTGTGTTCAATAGTGTAATCGGATCCAACCTATGTGAGCCATTTTATATATTTTCTAAATATATTTACAAATAAAATAGTAATTTAAAAATTTAATAACTTAGATAAAATTTGGGTTAATACCTTAGTTTGGCCCGAACTATACACATACTTTCTACTTTGGCCCGTGGTATTAAAAATTGCTACTATGGCCTGAACTATATAGCAAACTTCCTCATTTGGCCTGGAGGCGGGTTTGACCGTCAAAACAGACGGTCAACCAAATTGACCGTTAGTCAATATACACATCACCTGCCATAGTAGCAAATTGACCGTTAGTCTGTTTTGACGGTCAAACCCGCCTCCAGGCCAAATGAGAAAGTTTGCTACATAGTTCAGGCCATAGTAGCAATTTTCAATACCACGGGCCAAAGTAGAAAGTATGTGTATAGTTCGGGCCAAACTAAGGTATGAACTTGAAATATTTTATTAATTTTAGTGACCACGAATGAAATTAAATATTTTTAGTGACTAAACATGAATGTTTTTAGTAATCTCAGTGACCAACCTTGCAATTAACCCCCAAATAAAATAGTAATTTGAAAATTTAATAACTTGGATAAAATTTTCATTACAAGTATCTATCTATTAGAAAGTCACTTTCAATGAAACCTAACAACCATGACCAACCATCCCCTGCTCTCCACTCCCCCCCTCACTCTTTCTAACGGTCAGACCAGTAACATTCTGGAGACTGTTTTGAAGCCCAATTTTGGTCAGACTTAACCCGGCCGACCAGTAGAGATTCAACAAGTCCCTCCATATATTATATACCCATCCATCACTCCTTTACAAGGTCCCACAATCCACTAACCATCACCGCGAAGAAAAAGCAAAGCAAAGCAAGCCCTCCATTAACTAGTAAGACAAAAAAGGAGGGAAGAAAAAAGAAAGCAAGAAAGGTGCTTCCATCATCGTCCGCCAATCCCCACCGGTGGTGGTACCAAAAAGAAGAAGAGCCAGTAATTGTTTAGGCATTTGACATCCAACCCTGTTTTCAGAAAAATAGTCACCAGGAGTGAAAGAAGAGAAACAAAATCTGTAAAGAGGAAGCATGGCATCTGACTTTGATTGCAATTTGGAATTTTAGACATAGCCCCCAACCCAACAACATTTAATTCGTAGTCTTTCGAATGGGACAAAACGCCGCCTGGGACCCTTAAAGCATATATATTGCAACAATAAGGATCAGCAAGAATCAAAAGAAAGAAAGAAAGACCTTTTTGAAACGGGGACTAATATGTAGGAGCGCCCATTGACGAACTTACCAGTTGTAATTCGGATTAGGGATCAGCCCCTTTCTTCACTGATTATGTTTTTCCTCTACGATGGCGGGTTTGTTTCTGGTTTAACAACGGCTGGGGGATCCGATGGCTGCGTGTGGCAGATGGCCGATGCCAGAGAGATGGGCATGATGCAGAGCGCCTTTGACTGAAGGAATTGCATGGCGGCACCAACGTTTTCCTCCATGAGTTTGGCTACTTGTCTCTCTGTGCCATCGTCGGACCACTTCTCCCATGCGGGTTGACTTCTCCCACCATCACCATTTTCGTCCTGAAACCACAGATATTGTTGCTGTATGGGTCGTATGCTTTTTCATTGACAAAAAGACATGTGGGTAAATCAAACTCTACACATATGAAAGTAAAAGTTGTTCCCACCTCCACTGAAGATAGTGGAATCTCCGATACAAGTGGCGCAACTGCGCCGGCTCCACCTAGCCTACTCATGCTCAGAACCTGTTGAAAACGACGACAAGTTTCATAAATCGAACAACTTTCAGTCAAGCTCTCATCTTATGAATGAGCCACTATCCAGCCACAAGTTATTTTGACTTCTAGTCTTAAGTGACACTCAGACTAATGTTTGCAAACCATGGTCATTGAATTTCTGAAGACTTCTAATTCTGCTATGTGAAGAGCGAAAGCTTTTGTTTGTAAACCGTATGGTATAGAGAAGTTACTGCATTCAGTTCATGCTTGACTTAAAAAGCATTGTATGATTGAATTGCAATGGATGAAGCTGCATACTAATTCAGCAGCAAAGAGAACTTGGTACCTACCTTAACTTGAAGTCTCAGAAACTTCACATAATCCACAATTTCATCAAGCATTGTCGCTCTATCTGTCTGCAGAACACATTATATATGAATGGAGTGAAACAGCAGGCCTTCCAAATAAATACAAAGTTAGAGTTGGTCAAGGAAATCAATTTGTTGACAATATTACACAGTTGAATGTGTTGATCGGATTCCATATACACACCAAGATGATTCAGATTCTTTTTAATTCAGAACTACTTATCACACATCAACACTGAACAGAAGTGTTTGATTTATTTACAGGAATTTAGTCTCCATCAAGGGCTCAGGATTGACCAGCTACAGCAACAAATTAGTCTCAAGCATGTGGCAATATTTCAGCTCTCCATCAAATGGTCAGGATTTCACCACCGTCACCTAGATTTGGGTGGTGACTATCTTCAAGTCGAGATTAAGATGCATTACAATTACAGTATGGTGTGTGAATACCCAAACGGAAAATTACTGCAGATAGAAGCCGTTTCTAATATTTCCAATCACCAGTTTGTCTACTTCATGACATCAAGAATTGTTGAAGATCACAAACACAAACATATACGAGTGCAAGCAAGAAATCCATGGTTCTTCTAAAAAAAGATGAATCTAGCAAGACGGTTTAGTTATTGCACCAAATTCTAGAGGGTGATAAGTAGACTGACCTTGTTAACACTAGGCACCAACTCCTGTAATGCCCTTATCCTCTCTGCTATTTTTTCTCGGCGCAACTGTATCAAAGTAAGACAAAGGAATCAATACGAATGCCATATGAGTTCCGTACTTGTGTCTGCAAAGCATAAGCTAATGGTTTTCAATATATCAAGCTTACACGCTCGGCAATGCTGTGTGGATCTGTAGCCTGCCCTCTTCTGGCCCTCACCCTTGGCCGCATTGTTGGAGGATGTGGGGCTGCTGCAGGCAAAGTTGTGGGCACCGGTTGTCCATGAAAAACCTGTTACAAAGCAAATATCTCATAAGTAAAAAGGAGCAGGCTTACTGGAGACAGAGCCACCAAAGGTTCAAATAAACTTTCCATTCATGAACTTATCTGAAAAAAAGTAACGTATTCAGATCAGAAAAGAACACGAAGAAATGTCCAACTATCAAACCAATGTCACCTGATAATTATATGCATGCATTATCTATTTTCCACAACTTTAGATCAGTCATCCTTTTCCTTGTAACTAGAACAATCTATTATATGAACTGCCTAGCTCATAGCCCAGTAGAAGGTGACTCAGGGAACCAAGAAAGGTGCATGTGTTGAAGCATTTCAGTAGAAGAAAAACTAGTGGTAACTAATGAAACAGCCGACAAGGGGACATTGTTGTGTGTATGCTTCTCCTCGTCAAAATACCAGTCTTGCTCCGAAAAATCCAACTACCTTTCTGGGTCTCCTTGGGCAGCTAAGCAAACAAAAAGCTAGAAGCACAAAAGCACCAATTTTTTTTTTTTTTTTTTGTAGCTTTAAACGAACACTTTGCATCCCCTCATCCCGCAACAGTTAAAACAAACAACGCAGGAATGATCTGTACGAAAGCAATAACTAAAAGCGTATCTCTTCCTGAAAGGAGGGGACAAATCAACCACTGAGAGCTAATTAATTATGAAAACAATGAGGAGGATCTTCTCTTGAATCCTGCGTGACTTACATTTTTTGCCATGGCAACTCTGCCGTCGAGGACGTCGTCACGGAAGCGGCTTCCGCCGCTGCCGGAGGCATCCTCGTGCTTGGGAAACCCTCCCTTCCCTTGGTCCAAGCTGAGCCCCAAGGGGAAACCCTGGAAACCGGGGGAGGAGCCGGTTAGGGCGTTAATCCCGGTGGCGGAGGGGTCGCCGGAACTGAGCTGGAGAAACATGGGAGCATGGGCGGAGGCAGAGAGAGCATCGGCGCCGACGAGAGAAGGGACGGCGGAGGAGAAGCTCTGGAGGCCGAGGATTTCCTGGAGGAAATCATCGGTGGGAGTGTGGGAAGGGTTACCGGCCATCAAAAGGAGCACGGAAGTTGCGAGAGAAGATGGAAGTTAGGGCTCCAATTCCAAAAGAGTGCAAATCTACTACATGCAAATAAACAAAAACCCAAAAACCGCGCTTGATGCTGCTGCTACGGGGGAGAGCGCGAATCTGAGAGAATGAATAGAAATGGAAATTAGGTCCGTCTTCTTCTTCTTCTTCTGCTGCTTTCTGTTGGGGCAAGGTCTCTTCTGTAAGGGAATCGCAAGCAAAAGTATCAGCTTTCTTTCTTTCTCTCTTCCCTTTTGGCGTATGGCTTTTGCTGAACTTTGCTTTCTCACTTGGATTTCTATCCTACTACTGCTGCTGGCTGGGCACCGACTGAGCGAGAGGGAACGGAAGTGAAGTGAAGCGGACGAGGTGAGAACTGATAATGGGTTCAACGCCAAGGGGATTGAGCTTTTTATCCTCCTCCCCACAGATGTTTTTTCAAAAAAACTGTTGCGCTTTTCTTTCTCCCATTGTTTAAGAACCGAACCAAATGAATGGCTGGGTCAGCCGAATCACTAAATCAGTTACAATGACGATTTGGTTCATTTGATTGGATAATTAGAAATTGGTCAAACCATTTTTATCGGTTTAACATGAATGGCTCCAGTTTGACTAGTCCAAGTGGTAGACTATTTTAACCACAAAAAATTAAGAGAAAACTCTAACGCAAACTAAAATCATCCCACCTTAATCACTAATTTTATTTATGCTTAAATTTCTTCATTTTCATCCTCCTTTTATGCTTTTTGTGGTCTACTACGGGTTTCTACACTGATTACTAACTTGAATTAAAAAAAAAATTTATTTATTTTGTGAGATAGTTTGAATCCTTTGTAAGAACTTTTTTTTATGATAGATGATAAGGCTCCACGAAGGCAGAATCGAATCTTTCTGGATTTGAAGTTGTTTATCGTTAGTGATAAATTCACTCTTAAACTAGTGTATTATATACGACTTGCATGTGTATAGCGCATGACCGAAGTTCTGTCAACGGTTTTGCTTATTAAATCATGAATTTCTGATCATACCCTAAATCCAAAACATGTCACCTAGGATATAAGGTGCATGATGACTTGACGTCATCCTCACCTTCCTCTGGCTTATCATCGACAGTCTGCTCAAGGTTCCAAACTCAATGGTGGCAACTAAACACGAGGGTTATGTTTGTTGTGGGACTTAACCCAACTCCTCATGGCACGAGCTGATGACATCCATGCACCACGAAGGCTGCTTGTGCAAGGTTACAAAAGTCCAGACTCATTGGGAGTGTGAGAACGCATCACGAACGTGGCCAATCAGTCAACGTTTAACCCTCGTGTATGAGGACTAAACACTTTCTACCTTAGTCTATCAAATAAATTTCGTCATTGCGATAGAACTCAACCAACAAGTTAGGGTCGAAGGTTCGGAAAAAAATCTCCTCGTCGTCAGTGCTACTTCTACCAGATCAATTCACCGCCCGAAAATAACATATTCAATGATAGGTCGTTGAATTCTCCTATCTTCAACGAAATCATCATCGAATCATCAACTTCCATCCGATCTTTATCAATCGATCTCCAATCCAGCCCTCCTTACTAGTTGCAGAGTATGAACAGGCAGGTGTCTGTTTACATCCGATCCAACAATCCCTGCTGTAATCGATGACAGGAGGTTTCACGTACAAAGTTCCAAAGTCCCCTGAATCAACTCAATTTGGAAATTTATTATTAATTTTTTTTGAAAGGATGGGCAAAATGCTGAAAACTAGTCGAGTGGTTCAAGCTTCCCAAGCGGTTAATTGTTCAGACCGCCACCGATCGACTGGTCTGAAGCTAGCGGCTCTTTCCTTCTTCCGAGCCAAACTGGTGGCTGATTCCCGATTTTACCGGTCCAATCGACCTGTTCGGCTCGATTTAATAACATTGCAAATATCAATAATAAGTACATATAAGGTTTAGTAATTTTGTTAAATGTTAACTTGTACTGCCAATAATAAACCCGACCACTAGCTCTTAATGTTCCAACGAAAACTGAATACAAGTACACGAAGTACCTAACTTTTCTCTATCATCAAAACCCGATCAGGAATCGGTTCGCTTTAATAATTACTTGGTATCATAATTTATGAATCAGCCTCAACAAGACAACAACAATATTCCAGCACCTAAATTCCCACCACGTGAAAGTGTGTTCAAAGAGGTACTGTGGAAAGCCATCATCAAATTCTAGACCAGAACAAAAGTCAACACAATACGACATCACTGGCTACACGCATCACACTATAATTAAAGTTTAAACCAACGGCCGATTTGCTCGTTCACCTAACAAAACTAGTCATTGTTACTTTGAACATTCGAAGCTCGCTCGCAGCATGCGATCAGTCGAGTTTGGGGATCACACTGGAGTTTCTTGCACTTCTCAGCCTGAATGTGATTTTTAGTTTCAGCAACATGAATGAAAACCTGAACAGCACATTACCTCGCCATCCTGCTTTCTTTGATTTGCAGGTTGGGCGAAGAAATGTTTAGCATTGCGCGAGCCACCTCAGCCTCTACTATAGCTTCCAACAAAATGTCTGATCCATTCATTGTTACCTGCAAATACAATTCATAGGCACATTTCTTCACAGAGACCCAGTCATACTTATCTTTAGCAGTCAATTCTCTTTTCAGTATTTAATTTTGGTTCAAGAAACATCATCAACATTGTCCAATTGCACCATGAAATTCAAAGTGCAAGCACTAGGAAACTGGCGAGAGGCATCATAAAGTAAAGGCATTTAACATATACAATAATGAAATAATAGAGGCCAAGTAAGCATCCCTACCCTGACGGTTAGGTAGCATCCCAGTTCTTTCAGCCGAAACAGGCAAAATGTGAAGAAAACCCAGATCATCAATCTGCTGTCCTGGGTCTAAACTAGCCTCAACAGCCGCAGATTCTGCTAGTCTTACATAAGCAGTTGCTTGGCTGTGCATATTGGAGGAATCAAAAACTATTGAAGAATCATAGACCTTGAAGGCATGTTTCAGGGCATAAGAAACACACAAGTTTGCTGAGACAGCTAAAAACCTTGGAGACGGTAGTTGCTGATACACTCTCAGTACTGAACTCTGCTGAAATCTGAGAGACAGTAGCTGTTGACATGTTTACTACACTGGAATTTTCAGCAGCCAGTCCACTGGCTAGTTCCCCAGAAAATCCAAGCCAAACCAAAGGATTAGAAAACCCATCAGCAGGAAAAAAGAAGCAATGATCATTGACCGGAACTACCAAAACAGTGAGGACCAGGTCTCAATCGTAGAAGCGCTTCTAATCTCGTAAAGTATGGTCTCAAGCTGAGTCATCTTATCTTGAATTCCCTTTCCTTGTGAACCTAAACTACTCAGAAGGTTTGAGGCGCTAATCAAATCCCTAAATTTCAGCTGCAACCGATTGTTGTGCTTACAAGCGATTGAAAGAAGAAAAGTAGTACCGATCAGAGCGCGCGGTGGCTCCAAGTAAGAGGAAGAGCTCGCCGTAAGAAATTTCGAACATTTTACCGCTGTGATGAGGAGCTTTCAAGTGATGGCTTCTTGGCTGTTGCCGAGTTCAACTGTACCTGGTTCTACCCTGCCTGCCGGTCAACTGCGGCGAGAGAAAGAAAACAAAAAAATGGCGGATGGCAGCGATTTCACTTGTTTAAATTGGCTCGGATTCACTTGGGCCTCGGCCCAGTTTGTTTTCTGTTCCGGACTTACCCGGGCAACCGCAAAAAGAAAAACGACCGGAACTGATATAACCGCTGGCCGGACCACCGGATAACGGTTCCGCCAGTTTTGAACAGTCAAAACGGAAAACAAAAAAGTGTTCAAAATAAAAAATAAAAAAAACCCAGAAAATCACCACCGAGTCCAAGACCAAAACCTCCTCTCAAAATCAAAAGCCCCTTCCTCCATCAGAAAATTGCCGCTGCCTTGGGTGGAATTAATATGGCTGCTACTGTTGCTGCTCTGAAATCAACCACCGGGACTTGCTTCCATCAGCTTAAGAAATCGGATGCCCATTTCTTACCTTCGCGCAGGCCAGGCTCCGTTTCAGTCAGGACACTCCGTCGTCAGTCGCCAATGGCAACTCTCACCGCAGCGCCCACTGTTGGCCTAGCTCAAACTTTCTCCAATCTCAAAAGCCAAGGCAAAGTAAGCATTCCCCCTGCTACCTCTCTCTCTCTGGGCCATTCTCTGTATTTGCATTCGTATTTCGCCCGTTTTCTTCTTTTGGGTTCTCCCTTTAGTTTTGTTATATCCGGGTTTGACAGTGTATTGTATAGATATTGCCGATTGATTCAATAATTTCTCTTATTGGTCGAATTTCTGAGCTTTAGAGTCTGTAGAATCTTGTTAAAAAAACAAGGTCAGGATATTTTTACCTTAACGTGGAATTTTTGTGCCTTGGAAGGTGGCATTCATCCCATACATAACTGCTGGTGACCCTGACCTTTCAACCACAGCGGAGGCTTTAAAGGTGCTGGATAAGTGTGGTTCTGACATAATTGAGCTTGGTGTTCCATACTCTGATCCTCTTGCTGATGGCCCAGTTATTCAGGTCTGTTCACTGGACGAGTGCTTCTTATGTGAGTTCTTGAAATGTTTCTTGATTTTATTTGTTGTTGTTGTTTCAATTTGCTTACCGGAATATCTTTTTATGTAAAGGCAGCAGCTACGCGCTCCTTAGCAAGAGGAACTAACTTCGACTCGATCCTGTCCATGTTGAAGAAGGTAAGGCTGCCTACTTCTAGATCTTGGTATCATTTGTAGAAGTCTTTTCTTGTGCATACCATTGTGTAAGAGATTGATGATTGCCTGGAAAAGCTTGGCCTATTTCCTTACTTGAAGACTGAAGAGACTGAGATGCCATGAGTGCTTGATTTTAAATTATTGTTCTTTTTTTTTTCTTCCTTTCATTTCTAGCTTGTTTTGAGATTTTTTGTTCTTCTAATCTTTTTACATGAAATGCTCAAAGTCTTGGACATCTATTTGAAAAATGATTTGCCATTTGGGGGAATTGCGCTGATTGGCTGATCTCGGATACTAGTCTTCAGCGTTTACGTGCTTGGTTTTATGATATGAGACACTTGGGCAAGTGATTTGGTGCATAGCCCAAAATGTTAATGCATTAACATTTTACTCAAAACTTTTTTGATAATGCACTTTCTTATGAACTCTAATATTTGCTCTGGCCTGTGCTCTCTTTCTCTTTCGGTTGTTTCTTATACTCTTGTTCTTCCTCCTCCATCATGATATAGACCTGCTCTCCCTTTCCTCTTGTTCTTATACTAATTCTGCTGTTTCATTGCAGGTTGTTCCAGAAATATCTGCCCCAATTGCTTTGTTCACGTATTACAACCCTATCCTGAAGCGCGGAATTGGACAATTTATGTCTACTGTGAAGGAAACTGGGATACATGGTACTTTCTGATCCCTGAATCTCCTATATTTTCCTTGATCTATTAAGTGAGCCTGGATACACCGCTAGTACTGGTTATTTAAAACATATGTTGGCTATCAGATGCCAAATTAGCTCTATGTTTAATCCTTTGCATGGATAATTAAACATATTTTCCTGTTGAAGGGGATTGACAGTCTTTTCCAGTGTCCTAGGGTTATGTTTTCAACACTTGGGTTGACACTATTAATGTTTTGCATCTCTGGTATTGCAGTAAATGAACCTTTTGGTAAAATTTGGCTGTTTGTAATCCTGAATGGCTCTATTTTTACTTCGACGTTCTTTCTACTTATTTGCAGGACTTGTTGTTCCGGATGTTCCTCTAGAAGAGACTGAACTTCTGAGGAAGGAAGCTCTCAAGAATAATATTGAACTGGTTTGTTATCATTCTATAACCAGGGCACATTTATCTTCAGATTCTTACATATACTGATACCAGTACTTAAGGAAATCTAAAAGCACTGGAGTTCGATCTTCACTAGTAATGCTTGCTTTTTTCCAACTACTAATCTTCATAAGTAATGGTCTAGATGTCAAATTTGTTCTGGGGACAAAATCAGATGCGTTCATTTGTCTAGGTGAAATTATAGCTTTAACAGTTCCCCGACTTGGTGAATGGAATAACAGGACCACCTTACATTTGCGATTGTAGGTACTTCTTACAACACCCACCACTCCAACAGAGCGAATGAAAGCCATAGTGGAAGCTTCTGAGGGATTCATTTATCTTGTAAGGGAAGTTTCAACTGACTCTTCGCCATAGATTATATACCTTCCTCTAATCTCTCTCTCTCTCTCTCTCTTTTTAAATAGGTGAGCTCAATTGGAGTGACGGGTGCGCGAGCTTCTGTAAGCACCAAAGTACAGACCCTTTTGCAAGATATAAAAGAGGTGAGTTGAGTAATCAGAGTTGGGCTTGTCCAAAAATGGGTTCTCAGCTCGTTGGCAAACAAACATGACTAAAATTTTGTTATTATCCATCACACTGTGAGGGTGATTCTGCAGTCTTTGATTTTATTTATATACGTCCATATGTTATTGTGGCAGGCAACGACTAAGCCGGTAGCTGTAGGTTTTGGCATATCAAGCCCTGAACATGTCCAACTGGTTAGTTACACTGCGAGCACACAAAATACTTGGCGAGTGCATAACTTGTCCGATTCCTACCAGAGTGTTGTTTTATTTTGTTCTGCAGGTGGCGGGATGGGGTGCTGATGGCGTCATTGTAGGCAGTGCAATGGTGAAGTTGTTGGGTGAAGCCAAGTCTCCGGAAGAAGGATTGCTGGAATTAGAGAAGTTCACCAAATCCTTAAAAGCTGCACTTCCATAGAGAAACAGCATAGTTTTAGGGGATCAATTTTCACGATTTTGGCTGCTCTTCTGATGTTGGTGCTCGCTTTTACTTTCAACATTAAATAAGGTGGAAAATGGAAAGATGTTTCTCATGATAGATTGTGCAGTTTTAACCCTCAGGCACCGCGGTTACTTGGTTGAAAACGAAAAAAAGCGTTAGAAACTTCAATTGCAGATCAAAGCTCATTTGAAGTTGGCTGTGTCCTCCAAATTTGGGTGAGTAATATCAATTCGTAAATCGTACCATGAACTTGAGTACGAAAAGGCAATCGGCTCGATAAATATAAGATGGAATCATCCTTGAGCTTAGTGCAACACCCAAAACACTCCAAAATTGCTGGAATTGGATTGTTATAGCTGTCGACCAAGAACCTTATCATATTTGCCACCTGAAAGATAAACACACGGGACTGGAAGAAGCTTTTTACTAACTGAGACAGGAAAGGCTGCTGAACCAGTAAAGAAAGTAAAGTTGGCCATCAACCTAGGGATGATTCTTAATTGACATGGGTTTGTTCCATGGATGTGAAGAGTGGGCACATCAACAATCACGTAACCCTTCTAGATACAACAAAAGCTATAGCTTCCACACCGGAAAGAGTGCTTGAACTGAGAGTGAAATGTTATACATGCATATACCTGCAACATTCTCGCGAACAAGGGACATAGCTACCCTTTTGGTTCGCATTCTTTTGACGTCAGTGACGCGTTCTGGACGACTTTTGATGTTCTGGGGATTACTCAAATCCGTTCTCTTGTTCATGTGAATTAGGTCGCTTGGTGACCGTCTTCCTAAAAAAAAGATCATTACTTAACAGGGAACAAAAGTAAAAAGCGGATCATCTTTATTAACAAAAAGCCGCCAAATGGTCACATAGATGAGGATATATTCTTTAACTCCACACAAAAGAAGGCTATGATATTCATATAACCCTTGAATTGGGTATAACGTGTACCCTTGAATTGGGTTAATGGCTATGGATTGGGTATAACATGTACCCATACTATCCTAAAGGGTATGAGCGGGTAATTTGTGGCACCCAATGTTGAAAATTTCAATCTCATATCCCATTCCGTAATAAATATTATGGGTATTTGGGTACCCGTAACCCTCTAAAAACGGGACGGGTATACCCAAATACCCGTTTTTCGTTGTCCACCCCTAATCGGCGAGCAAAAGGGTTGAGATGAGAGATGGCGGCGAGCAAGAGGGAAGGCGAGCGGCGCTACCCCCATTGCCTGTCTCTTTCTTTATTTTCTTAGGGTTAGTTGACTCTTAAGGGGACGGGGTGAGCTAATGAGTGAGGGGTGAGAGGTTTGGGCGGAGGCCTATGGCTAGTTGGGGTGAGGACTTATATGTGGGCTATACATTAATTCGGTTGTTCGACTCGGTGATCGGAATTCGGCTTCGGTCGAGAGGGGTCTGGTTTCTGAAATATGCCTATTTCCCTTTCGAATTTTGAACCAGACAACATTATTTCGGTTTTGGTTCAGTTTTAATTCAATTCGCAATGTGGATGCCCTCCCCTACTTGACGATGAGAAATGAGAGATTTTCACAAGATTATGCGGGAGAGAGTAAGGGAGCTCGTGAAACTATTTCCTGAAACGATACCGTTCTCTTGATGTATGTGTTTAGGGTTGTGCAACGGTCCATACTTGATATGATCCAAATCCGAAGAGAACTCTTGAACTCGGATGATATAACCAAAGTACGCAACCTTCCTTCTTTTAAAGGGATTTTCGAAACTTTTCCTCTAACTTGCACAACTTGAAATAAATAAAAAAAGATAGATTATGGAACACGATCAAACGGATCCCAACTCGTGTGAAGGGCCAATTGGTATATGACACCAATCAAACAATCACAAACTCGTGAATAAGGCCAATCGCTATTTGGTAGATGGGCCCTCTGGGGTTTGGCCCAGGTCACAGCGTGCACACGCGCGCGCACAGAGAACACAATAGACTCCAATAAAATAATGTATGAGAAAAGAGAATAAAAAAGAACGAAAACGAAAAGAAAGGAATATAACCCTTTCGAGGCCTGAAGGCCATGATCATATTCCCTAGGTTCTGTCACAACCACTTACTCAAGGGGTGAAGAGCGAGTTCTATGACTGGAGAAAGCTTATGCAGTAGGCTAAGGTGCCTCTCTTTTTGCAAAACAAAAAGTAAAAGAACGAAAATGGTAAAAAAGGAAATTTATAGCGACTAGGCATGTGGAGGAAGACTGACGAGGAAGATGTTGCACATGCAAGCTCCCCCTAAATTTCCTAAATATGTGGCATCAATACTGGCAACGTACGAGTTGCTGATTTCTTATGTGTTCTAATGCCACCTTGTGTCAAAGCATTTACCCGAGCTAGTGGGCGACAAGGACCCTATGGATTTCTCCTAGGCGTCGCACGGTTTATTCAAATGATGATCAATCGAATAGAACCTCCTTGTTCTTGTTCTAGGTGACTAGGGTTTTGATGCTTTCACCAATCACCACGAAGGGATGCAAGATCAACTAGGCATTCATTCGAATCAACAAAAGACAACATAGAGGAAACCAAACACAAATGATAGGAAGATAAAATGAATCGTATTGAATACCAAACATCGAGTTTACATATCTATAACCTCTAGGGTTTTCAAACCTATGAAACTAAGGGATCTAGAAGGTCATGGGGATTTATCGATTGAAACAAAGTTCACAAAAGACCACTATTAAAGGTGGTGACGGTAGAGAAATTGGGGTTTATGTCGCCTATTTTACCGTCGTTCCCCTCCTCGTAACTAGTGCCGCTCTAAGTCAGGTGAGGTACTCTCTCGATAGAGTGACAACTCTCTAAATGCCTCTTATCACTTGATATCGAGTTCCAAACCTTAGAGACCTATTTATAGGTCTTGAATTAGAGTTTATGGGGAGGAAAACTCAGCCTTGAAGCGTTATCCAGCCAATCAGAAGCTTCTCCCGTGTAGCAACTACTTTAGGATAACTTCTTGACGCCTTTTTGACGAAGTTTGGACTCTTACAAAAATGGCGTCCACGTTGTCGTTTTACTTCATGGGCCACCAATTTGGGCAACAGTTTTGGCCCTTGATTTTCTCTTCGAATCTTGATCAGCAATCGAGCCATGATGTCCCTTGATCCTCCCAAGTGGGCCTTTAGCCTATTTTGACCAGTAAATGCACAAAACGCTATAAAAAGCATATCATAGTAATAAAGCAGTCCTCAAACACACTTTTATTTAGTATATAAATAAAAAGCAGAGTTTTGAACTGTATATTAACGGCCAACAATCAGTAAAACAATTAAATGACCAATAGCTACTAGACAAGTGGGAGTCATTAACTACTAATCTAACTACTTGATATGTAGCCAAAGCCACAGCGTCTTGATTGTGAAGTTGAATACACCACTTAGCCAAACGACGTCGCAGACCCTGTTGCTGGATACCGGATTGATTGAAAGGAAGCTCAACCCAGCTGGTTCTTCTTTTCCATCCGCAGAGTTCTTCATCTTCTTTCACGTTCATTTCCTCTGCAGCAGCTTGTTCATCATCAATCCCATTCACAGCTGGTGACGACAGGCTTCCCTGCCTCCGCAAACTTCCTCACCAGACACACCACCTTGTGGTCGGCGCTCAGAAGCTCCATGAACATCCGGCCGGGAATCAGGATGCAATCGAATACCAGTTGGCCTTCACTTATTCGAAGTTGGCCTTCACCGTGAAGAAATGCCCCTTAAGCTCTGTTTGAGCCAGGGAACCCATTGCCTACTTTGCCAATTTGTCTCTAACCAAGGCTAAGCTGCTAGCTTTATATACAGGAATAGGAGAGAGGATAGAGTGCAGAAACAGATGGGTTATTGCATTATTGGTATTAAGTTACCTCTTCGAGGCCGGCACTGGCAGTGGGCAGTGAGATTACAAAGTGTGTGAATTGAATTCCCATTTGTAGGTCTCATCTAACAGAAACACCCATAACGTTCACGTTTCAGAGGTTGGGTGAAGAACGACAGAAAAGCTGGAGCCAGGAATGGCCTCAGCTTAGGCCGTGAAGCATATCTGTGATTTGGCCCCTAAATCGTCATGATTCCACATTATGACATCATATTCCAATGAAACACAAGAGGAAAGAAACTACAGCTTCAGGCTTTAAACAATTGAGGGGATGATAGTGGAACTGTATCTTACTCTTTAAGATTTGCTTACAAATAAGAAGACAAGGTAAAGTACATGAAATAACGGTTCGTATATTACGCAACTGATCTACAGGTGCAAGCAAGTGATACAATTGCTGCTAAAAGCAAAGAATCCAGCAGCCCATTTCTCCCTCTATCTCCCTCTCTATCTCTCCCTCTTTCTCTGTAATCTTGTTATAACATTCGGGAACACCCCCACAAAAACAAAAGAATGGCGAGCTCCATATGTTTACAGAAAAGAACCACAACAACGGCAAGAGATTACCCAAATTTTTTTGATTAAACAACAAAAAAGAAGGGCAAGGCATCATGCCATGGTATAAACTAATATGTTTCAGACTTTCAGGCCACATACCTACAACATGTCTCCATTGCCTTAGTCTGTTCTTGGTCTGTTGGAGCCATTTCTCGTGGTGTTGTAAAGCGGCAACAGCCATCTTGAACCGTGTTTCCTTCGGCCATAACACCGCCAATATAGCACCAGAATCACAACTATGAAAACCACGGGAATTGCCCATCTGTGGGGGGAAAGATTTGAGAATCAATAGAGTTCAATGAAAGAACTAACAGTGATGTGCAGATTTTATAAGGGTAGGAGACAGATGAGGGGGGTTGAGAGAGAGATTGACTTTACCTATCTAAATCAAGGACAGGGCTGTAAACGACAGTCTCCCAGGTTGCTACTATGAAATGCCAAACCGGGTTATAATATAGTGACTCGGCCGACCAAAACATTCTAGTGTATGTCTCTAGGAAGATGAATAGTATCCACGCGCTCATCTCAATCAAAATGAACTTTATAATGAACCGGCCTACTACCACCATCACAAGGGAGAAAGTCACCAACCAGTTGAACAGCCTGTGGTTGTATTCCTTTATAAATTGGGATTTCGATTTCCCCATCATCTGAAAAAATCAACAAAACACCACCAAAGGTTCAAGGGTTATATTGCAGTGTTCAAGAAGGCGCGATTAATAGCTGGGCAGGAGGAAATCGCCTCGTCTAGCCCTGGGCGATTGATCTAGGCACCTAGGCACTCGGAGGCGCGTTTTCACCCTGGTGGGCGACGCCCAGAACAACTAATAAAGGGGAAAGTGTAGCCTTTTTGTGAAAATCCCAAACCCTATTCTATTTTTCATTTCCATTCGACCAGCCGCTCCCTCTCATCGACCAGCAGTGAGTTCTCTCCTCATGGTTGGTGACTTAGGATGTTTGGGATTGTGGAAAGGGTTGTATGTGTATATGAATGGATGAATTATGATATGGGGACTTGGGTTTTTGTGGAATATGGCTTATCTAACATATTTTTTTCAACGTTTAATCTCGCCTAGGCAACGACTAATCGGCCTGGGTGCTGGGCGGTGCCTCCTCGCCTAGATAGCGCCTAGCGTCTTCTTGAACATTGTTATATTGTTATCCATAATTGAAGCAACAATTAAACGAATTAAGAGAACATGGATGTCTGACCTTCATCATGCGGTTCTCGTATACTGCTTTTGAAGGTCCAACACACTCCTGCTCAAAACTCCGGTTGCATTGCAAGAACCCAGCATTGAATTTTGCCATGGAAGGAAGTCTTAGAACTTGAAGCTGGTCCATTTTGTCCTCGCACCTAGAGTATAGTGCCTCACAGAGTTTTGCAGATTGATACTCATTTGCCATAATGATGTGCTTGAAAACCTAAAAAATAACTCGAGGCAATTAGGTGGCGAAAAATAGTTTCAGAATTTGCAGATACGTGTATGGCCCTACCCTCAAATTTAACACCAAGTAGGCAGAAATGAAACAAAGGGATCAACTCTTAAGGCTGCAAGCAATTCCACATTTTCATCCATCACCATATGGCACAGAACATTGCAAAATGTGCACCACAACAGAAATCAACAGGCCACCCACATTTCGATAATTAAAGACGGAAAAGAAAATGAGATTTGACATGCATTGAAAATCCGATCAACCAGTAGTGACAGAAAGTGAATTCAGAGAGTGCGACCTCTTATCTCAAGATTCAGACATTGTGGAAGGCATTTACATTATATGTTTAAGAGGGAAGATGAGAGAGTTTCAGCCACTGGGACAATGCTGAGTTCAACATCTTAACCAGTTCCACAAAAGATAAGTGAATCGCAGGCAGGCACATAGAGTTTCACGTTCTTTCACCTGCACCCAATTAGTGCACAGGCACACACAGACCAAAACCTTTTTTAGCAAATAGAGACCTAAACTTCTATTAATTAGTGGAGAACAAACATAACGGCAGGGTTTCTGATTGGATCAGTACTACCTTATCAATTTCTTCATCCAGTTGCATGACAGATCTCTTTGCATGATGACGGCCAAAATGTTGCTCATCAAATACTTTCATAGATCTTTCCCTTGACCTTCCATGGGCATCTTGAACAGCTTCCTCTGTCAGTGGCAAATTTATTTTAGCCATGCCCTCACTGTATATTTTCAAACATCTTTCAAGGATAGCCTTGTTGAAAACCTCCACAAGAGATCCAGTTGATGGTATTTCTCCTTTATTCAAGGCTTCAAGAATCTGAATTTTGCAAGTCACAGGTGAGTACAATCAATGTGCAACAAGCAAAGCACGACATTTTAGAAACAAGCATGCTCTCTTTAGGTTACCTGCTCAAGGAATGCTACAAACTCCTCCCCATTCATGGATTTACCCTGCACAATCTTTGGACGAATGATGCTGGAAACAAGATCTTTCAACTTTTCCCTTCTTGAGACATACAATTGCTCAAGCTCGCCGTCTTTCATTTCACAAAGCTTTGTCCGGTGGAGGTGAGGCTGTATATTTTCATTGTGCAGGGTGTTAAAAGAGGCACTTGAAAGATAAAAACTAGCACACTGTCAATCTCCCTCATGCCCCTCCCCAAATACGGTGAAGGAAAAAAGTCAACTGCAATAAGTATTGAGTGACACATACTTGTGGCAAGCTAAAAGCTGTGCTGTTATCACCCATTATAGCCAGTGATTCTCGGATCTGATTAACCTGGTGTCATCCAAAAGCAAAATCCTATTATCATCCAGGAAGGCAGGCAGTTCTTTGAAATCAACAAAAAAAAAATTGAAAAAGAACAGAATGAGTACCTGATCAATATTTCTGTCTCCTGCAAGTAGAATAACATCCAATTTCCACCATCAGAACTTCTCCAAACTGAAGTGAATGCACTTACAAAAAAATTCTACTCACTGGAGTAAACTAACCATCTTGATTGGGCACACGTTGAAGGGCTTCATTCACCATCTCCTGCACTGATTTCCCCTCTGAAAGCACATGATATTACAGCGGTGTATAATTCACAATATCTACCAATACTCATGCTCGTCTATAAATATGCATCAAAGCTTGATTATTGCTAGAAAGAAACCACACGGTAACCGTGAAAGCTACTCCAACATGATATTTAATGAACTTACGTAGAAAATCTCGTTGAATAAGCCAAAGAAGTTTTGAAGGTTCAAAAGCAACATCTTCACCCTGTTAGGAAAATGGAGAGTGAGTGCCATCAACTACAGATCAGCATAAACCAATATAAACAGATGTGTCATGGTCATCAACCAAAAGACCAAGAAAGTTACCTTCACTCTGTTCTCCATGAAGATAAGCCAGCCAACCAATAAAAAAACCTCGTGTTAGTGATACATAAATAACAACCGCATTAAGATTGGTAGGTAACATATTACTTCACCATGTGAGTAGAAAAGTGCAAACCTTCCGTAGAATTCTTCAGCAAGTTCAACAGCAAATGACAGGCGAGAAATATCAGCCTCTCGGATCTGGCACAAAGACCCATAATGATTCATCAGAATTGGTAGAATACTATTAAACACAAATTCTACCCTTTCTGTTTTAAGGCGCCCAAGGGTTCCCACTAAAGGATAGTCCTGTGTCTGGGAAAGAAAATGAAGGGAGTGCAGAGCAGATAACTATCATTAACTTCTTTGCATTCCCTTGGTTTGGAAAAATCAAAACAGGAACAAGGGGGTTGATTATGAGCGGAATTTCTACTGTTTAAGCTTAACCACTTATTAGTAAGCTTCTGAGCATTTCCTTGGTTTGGGAAAATCAGAACAGGGACAAAGGGTTAATTATATTGGGGATTTCTACTGTTTAAGCTTAACCATTTACAAAGTTAACATCCGATGTTTGACAATTGAGCATAATTGTAAAACGCTTACTAGTAGATCCAAGGATTATACAATACTGCAACATTATCTGACAATTGATCCTCATGAAAGACAATACATAACTGATTTTGCATGACCCAGACTTATGCTACCACACTGATGGTAGTTGGTACCATGTTTATTTTTATTTTTTTAATTCAGACTTCCATCCACGGCCGATCCAGTGAACCATAAATCCCCCATACGATATCAAACTTCAAATTTCAATCATTAACAGCTTAGACTCTGCAAGAAGTAAAATAATATATGCCATAACGAGATCCTAAGACAACATATTTGTATAGCCAACAAACCAGACTTCCCTTAACAAAAATCTGATTCATACTAATATCCAAAGCAGCAAAAGGCACTAACCGTTTCTGGAAGATTATAAATAAGCACAGAACTCAATACAGTTGCAAGAGCAAATATCCTGCAAAATTAAATGTCAGTTGGGCACGCACAAGCTGGGCTCAAAATCACCATGGAAAGTTGCAAATGTCGCAGCAATTCAATTTACCTATCATCATAGACATTGGACTTGCCAACACTTTCAAACCCTTCAGTATCTAGGTAAAAGACCGATGTTTTTACTCCGTTGATGTCTAACTCTACGGGAGTTCCCCATACCCAAATTCCTGATGAAAAATAAATGTAGACAAATTACATAAAACAGTTAAGAATAATTGAAGTTTCTCAATACCTCATTTCAGAATACCTTTTGTTTTCGTATCACGCATATGTCCGACACCAAATCCTGGAGGTAAAATATAACTGTAATGTCAACTGAATGAATCTCTCTATTTCCCTACTTCTAAATACAAGAATTCCAACATATATGAAAAATATTATGTAATAATCTCACCTTCATCACAAGAAAGGGAAAGGAGTTGATTAAGCAAAAATGATTTTCCAGAACGATATGGACCAATAACCTGAATAGCCAATGATTAAGCTACTAGTCAGAAAAAAAAACCCAAGCAAACAATTTTTCTACAAAATACTGCAGGCTGTAAATTTTTACGTGATAGTAGAAAATAGTAACCAAGCCGAAATGAAATATTCTCATATAACATTCTACAGAACTGTGACTCTAAGGAGTCCTATTTTAAATGAAGGCTTTTAGAAGGGTGAGACGGCTGGTAATGAGTTAGCCCATTAGAATTGTTGATGAATTGAAAACTGAAATCAGGAGAAAAAACCAACAGTGACACTCGGATATTAGTTCAATAATCCTAGAACTGAAATCAAGTCATGAAATTTCCTTTCTGAAAGAATTGTATCCTGATACACCAAAAAGTCTAATTAATGTTCACAAGCTACAAAAAACACACAATTGATACAGACTTGCAAGCAGCAGCGCCAAGTAAAGAGTTACCAAAATTAGTTACTTCATTTAAAAAGACTATTCAATCCATCTGAGCCATGTTGATATAATGTTATATAATATCTTCAGCAACAGTACTCAGAAGTCTCATGATACGACATGGAGAATTAATAGGTAGGAAGGAAGGGGAATTCTCAGCCATACAGCAACAGCAGCAATTGGGTTTTTTATTCTTCTAATAGCTTCCAAGCCTTCACGTGAAAGACGAAGTTTTGTATGTCCTGGATCAGGTTCAACAATGGGAAACCTGCATATGCAAAGAGAACAATCAAAGCACACATATTATTAGCTTCTCCAGCCTATCCTGACCTCACAAATGAAACTCTAAATTATCAAGCAAGAATCACATTTCAATAATCTTGCAACAGAAATGGATACTATTGAATGGCACTTATCTTTATAATCTTGCAAAAGAACTGGAGGCTAGAACATAAAAGCATGGAGCAAATAATATCAGAAATTAAAATCTTATAAAGGGATGCACTTGAAGTACATTCTTATCATAATAATGTACAAATGAGGTAGGAGTGCTTCAAGCTTGCGCTTTTTCCCCTCGATAATGGCTAAATCATGCGTACGTCCTAAGAAGTCTAACTCCCCGAGAGACTATTATTGCACCCCCACGAGTCAAATTGAAGGAGAAGCAACCAGAAATCCTCCATGACAACGTGCAAGATTTTATCCAATGATTCAACACCTAACTTAAATAGAAATTTCAAGGAACCCTCAGTGACTGGCCAACTAACATGGGTACAAACAACCAACACAATGCAACTTAAGTTCTATGTAGACGAAGAACTCTTATTCACTTTCTCAACCCAGGTTGGTCTCTTTATGTCCACCAGGTAACACAAAAATTACTCCAAAACACACCGAACTAAAAGCATCGGGGTACCAAGCACACTGACCAAAGGCACAAAAGGTCACAACTTCTTATTCCTTTTCCTCGCTAATTTAACAACTTATGGTTCTGCCAGCAACCTAGTTGCGAGAACACAGCTAAAACCTGTAAAATATTCAAACTTTTTCAACTAATTCTTACAATCACAACTAACAACTTCCCTAACAAACACCAGATCAAGCTTCATATGTATATGCTTTGCAATAATCCAGCGCAACAAGTCGGTGAATGCCCAGCGCCCCACGATAAACACAAACGCAATAGAGAAGGAAGTAAGCGTTCAGGGAAAGAAAAATTGCACTCTCCACATTCTGCAGAGACGCAAGATTTTCGAAATAGAAAACAAATTCAAACAGCTAACAGGCAGTTGGCGCGATTCAACGTACGCTTGGTGGAAATCGTCAATCGAGCTAGACGGAGATGCGAAGAGGCATAGGAGAAGTAGGGGAAGCGAAGCAATCAAGTTCCGGCAAGAAGTTGCCATTGCGATTTAGAATGAGGAGTGGCGCCGGCTGGAGATCGCGGCAGAGAATGCAGCGGCGGGTTTTACTACACAAGGAAGCGGAGGGCGGTGCATGAGCCAGGGGTGGAAGGATTCTTGAACCCAATGGGGAAAGAAGGGAATGACACCGGGATCTGGTGTTGGGGAGACGGAAGGGTGTACGTTAAGAATCGTGCATCCACATGGAGGAAAGGAATGAAGAGGGAGATGGTTTTCGCATCTACGAAAGAGGAGTGCAGGGGAAGCTGTTTTGTTCCTAGTAGCAGAGGATTGAAGCGCCACGCCCACTGCTTGGGAAGTAGGGGTACACAAACCCGCAAACCGATCCGCTCCTCCGATTAGGGAGGGCAACAAAAACCGAACTCACGGATACCACCCGATCCAATCCGGTCAACGTGGATAAAATTTATGTTGACGAATTTTTGGGTCGGGTTCGGATTTAAATCCATTCACTATTCATCAGGTTGGGTTTGGATTTAAATAAACCCGCCCCATGGGTACTCGGCTACTCGCCCACACCCATATAATTACTTTTTTCAGTATATTTAATATTCTAAACAACTAATCTTATTTATGTTTGTGGAGACATGCCTAATTTTTTTTTCCTAATTGTATAGAATGAAGTTGATATTATCGAGTGGAGAGTGAAGAAACTTAATTGACAAGGAGGAAGAAGCTTTCAATTAATCATGTTATTTATGGATAATTTGTGATTTGCTTCAATTTTCTTGAGTTTTCTAGATTGGTGTTGAACAATTTGTATAGTTAATTTGCATGAATTTTCTAGAATGGTGTTTTATATATGAATAATTTGTATTGAGAGATTGATATTTGACTTTAATTTTTATATGAACTTGTTATTGTAAATTTTTACGACAAAAATCCGTGGGTACCCATGAACCCGCGGATACCCAGCGGGTTGGATTGGGTTTGAGTTTTTCAAACCCAGTGAGTTTTACCCCGGGTTTTTTTCACGGATAAACCCATGGGCTTGGGTTTGGCAAAACCCGACCCATTGTCATCTCTACCTCCAATCCGGCTCCAGATACTAGATATTGATCAATGAATAACCAAATCTCAGCCATCAAATTTAAAGGTGGAGAATTAAATATATTTTTATTTTTTCTTGTTTTCTTAATCAACTCATATCTTATTCGTTTTAACTCGGATTTCAATTTTTTTGCACAGATGGAACGAGTTCGTTATGCTCTGCAAAATTAGATCCATTTTCAATATTTTTTGAGAAAAAATTTGCTTGCCTCTCGCTACCATCTGCATTCCGTATGGTATCTTCTTCATTTGTAAGTCGTTTTTTAAAAAAAAATTCACGGAATGAACGAGTTCATCATGATCTATTGGATCTACAAATTTCTGGGTGAACAAAATACAGGACCAAAAAATACCACACAATGCCACCTTGGTATGGGGTGGTATCTTGTGGTACACAATGTTGAAAGTCGTAAATGATAGTTAGTATACTTCTACTATCATGTATTCAATCATCCTACAGTCTTGGTATATATTGGGGAAAAAATGCTCAATTTTTTTTTTATACCGTATGGTATTCTCTTATTTAATACCAGTTAATACCATATGGTATATATTGGGGAAAAAATGCTCAATTTTTTTTTTTGTTCTAAAAATATATCAAAGTGGATATCATTTTGAAAATCATAATTGACCTCATCTAACTGTGCAAAAAATTTAAATTCCGACTTAAAATGAGTGAGAAATCGTCCGTTAAAAATTAAGGGGAAAAATTAAAGATTTTCTAGGAGAGAGAAGGGTCCTTGATGTGACGACTGCTGATTAGATTATACATGGTTACTCACCAAAAGGTTATGCACAGGAAGTCAGGAACTGCTCCCCTCCAATCCAACCCAAACCACCCATATCTATTGCTAAATTTAAAGTTTAAGTTTGGGTGAGGATTTTCTTTTGTACAACCCGTACCTTTTGGTTTGGGTGTGGATTTTGGGTTACACAATCTATAGAATCCGACCCAACTTGTGTTCAAACTATTAGCATGAGCGTTCATATCCAAAACACATTTTTGTGTCGTATATAAGCATATTTGTAAGAAAATAAAGATATTTTGCCAAAAATTTCTCTCGTGGTTTATCTAACCTAAAGCATTATTAGACTTAAAACTTAGACATAGATTTGATATAGGCAACGATTTACCTATTATTTTTTCTTGTGCATAATTTTAAACGAATAACATATTAATAATGCGTTCGTTTATAACCTTTTTTTTTAAACATAGACAATAACCAGGTAAATCTCTGGCCAATACAGAGTCAAAGAACAGAAAATAGCACCGTGCGTTAGTCGATAAATAGTCGAACTGCGATGAAAGGGCTGGTTTTGCCACAAGATGGGCAGCCTATGAACAGATGTACCTGCAAAATGAACAAAAACATAGCCGCAAACAGCCAAATATCGATAAATATTGAAAATAACTATGCCAAAATCCTTGCTCCTACAATCTTAAGCAAAACGCTTCCTCGTTGAGGATTATCCAACCGACCACTAGAGGATTATCCAAACGCTTCCTTGTTGAAGCAAATCGCAGTTTAGTAAAATTCATGCATTTTGATAGTTTTCCCCTCGTTTTATTAATTTAAAATTTTAATTAGTTATATAATATTTTATGTTGTAGCATAATTTCTTTGTTTATTGGGTTGGATTTTTACTTAAAGTATCACCTACCCGATCTAATCCAATTATAAACAAACCGTATGGTTTTAATTTTTTGGGTGAGTTTGTATTTAGTATTTTCAAAATCGTAGTGCATGGGTCGGGTGACTGAAATGGCTAAACCTAGACCACCAGACCCATGTACACCCCCCATCGGGAAGAGTTGGAAGAAAACTGTGACTTTTCAAGATTGTCAACCCGGTTTAGCCTGTTGGTCCGTCGAGCAAAGTGGGTTGAGGGCTAATGATCCTATTATTTTAGTCTGGTTTAGCCCGGATATATGTTAAAAGCCATTATATTGTTTATATATTTATAAACTATATCAAATATCATCTAACATATGAGTAATAACATATAACTTTGAACCAAAATAACATGTTGTACTTGGATATAAAATAATATAATTAAAACTCACACATTTATATAACATTAATATTCAAATTTTCAACTTAGAATACAAAAATAGGGTTAGGTGAAGAGGAAAAGAGGGACATTTCACAAACCAGAGGGGAAAACAACGTCGTGTGGCTTCCAACACAATAACCTTGTAGTCGCTTGACCCACAAGTGTGTGTGGCTCGTTTTTCTCACTGGATTAGAGTCATAACGGGTCAACCGATTGGTCGAGCCATGGGTATTGGTATTTTGGGTACAATATTATTCCCTTTCTTTCAAAAATTTTAAATATGCTCCAAAGCAAAACTATTATTTAAAAATTTTAGAGACTAGAGTGCTATAAGACGACTTCTCGCAACTTAGAAAATATTCAAGTCGGGTTAGGGCTTGCACCAATAACTTACATGTCTTACTACTAGAAGGATTCCATTCTAGGCAACCATCTCATCTCTAACAACCTCCCAACTACTTGGTTGATTGTTTCTCTAAGTTGGGTTAGTTAGTTGTAAACCAACCTTAGATAGTAGTTTACAACGAAGTTTTAATAAACCTAAGGTGCCTGTGGGAATACGACATTGATGGTCTCATCTATACTGCTTCATGAATTCAAATTATACTTAGCTTGGATTAGATTTGATAGTGTGGTTGACAACCGAGTTAACTTGTTTTGCACCAGCATTCTATCACCCGAAAATGGCATAAAATAGCAAAATTCATCAGAAATACTAAAATAATTTATTCAGTTCTAATTGTACACATTTTATCCTCATTTTTCTTAGGCGTTTGATGCATTTGTACTCCGTGAGGTGTGGTTTTACGCTAGGTTGCAATTTGTTTTAGCAGATTCTAACATGTGAAACTGACCCCAGAATCGAAAGTGGGACGAAAACGAGTCAAAGGGTGGAAGCAGTTAAGGATCACGACGCATGATGATTTTTCACGATCTTAGGATCATGAAAAGGACGCCCAAACCGTGAAGCTCCAAAACTCCAGAAGCAATTGCATACCTCGCGGGTTCCTAGTCAGTTCACGGTCGTAAAACCGTGAACCAAAGCCCCAATCGTGAACAGACTAAGTGAAATGGCGCAGAAAGTCGAGTTCGGGTTTTACCCGTACTCACAGAAAGTCGATAGAGTTCAAATCTACCCTACTCGAATAGGTCGGATTCAGACGGATATCCACGATTTCAGATATTTTTCTCATCCGTACTTCTCTCACTCTGTGCCTTGGATCAATTATAACAATGGATACCGCCAATTGAATCCATTCCGGCCCATAAATATTCATGGGAAGCTTTCTCGAATTTTTTTAACTTTTTTTCTAACCAAAGATAGCTTGCATTACCAAGAGAAAAAAAATCAAAACGTTTACATCTCCGAACAGAGCCAAGCGTAAAAATCAAAACCTAGCACATCACTAGCTGACAATACGAGGATCTTTCTTGCCACCAAGTGGGCAACCTTATTGTTTTGTCTACCAACGAACCGTACTATCAGACCCGGACACAACCATTTGAATTAATTCAAATAGATGACATGGAGTTATATACGATGGCATTTCGAGACTATAATGTTTTTTCTAAATGGAGACATACACAATACTCACATCTGATTATTTGTCTCAATAGATAAATTTTCTTATAATGACTACAATTGAAACTCGTTTCTTCTTGATTATTAAACAGTGTACTCACCAATTATGATTTATTACATTGCATGTTTGCAAGTCACACAATTGCAATATCTCAATCATCTAATCGTTTGGAAGTTGTGAATGTTAAATCGTTGCATTGTAATGAATCACCATAATATAAAGGGCTAATACCACTACAACACCCGAACTATTGAAAAAATGCCACTTGTGTCCTATTGTATCAAATATTCCATTCATGTCCTCAACTATAATACTTTGTGTCATTTGTATCCTGTCAATTTCGTTGACCGTTAAAGATAACGGTTGACCAAACGGTGGTCAACGCAAAGTTGACTTTTGTTGAGGTGGCAAAAAATGTGACTGCCACATAGATGCCACGTCACTAATCTCATAATTTTTTAATTCAAATTAAATTTAAATTGAGTTAAAATTAAAAAAATTGTTAATTCAATTATATTATTAAGGAAAAATTTTAAAACAAAATAATTAAATATCTTATTATTCTTCTTCCCTACCAAAATAATAGAAAGAGGGGGTGAATGGAAGAATAATGAGACGATTCCGATTTCCAAGCAATGAAGACGATTCCGCCGCATCATCTCCTTCTTCCCCCAATTTCAGCTTCCTCCTACTCCGCCACCACTCCAATCCGTCCCGGCAACCCAATCTCAACATGAATTTAAAGTGCCTCGAGATCCTCATCGCTCATATCGCTGTGAATGGTGGTGAACAGGAAGGGTGAACCGGCGACGACTGACGGCGAAGGAGGGAAGCAGACGGACATGCATCAATCGCTGACCTCCTTCTGTCACCAATCACAAGCGAATTCCGCCACACCCCCCTGTTCCTCGGCGAGACCCAGCGATGATAGCAGAGAGATCGAAAGGTTTGGAGCAGATCTGGAGGTGTGGGAGATGTGGAGAACGACGACGGGGAAGGATGGAGGGCAGACGGACTGCGGTGAGGATGATGAAGAGGGGGTAGAGGAAAGTTAGCGAAAAGGTGCGGTGGCGGTGACTCTTCCCCGGCAAATCGAATTTTGTTGTGAGCGGCGGATTCGAAGAGAGAAGTAATGGGAGACGGGAAAGCATCGAAGAGGGGAAAGTGAAGGAACTTTACATTTTTTTTTTTTTTATTTGTTGAATAAAAAGTGAAATTAAAAATTCCAGGTCAGATGCCACGTTGACAGTGACTGGATTTTCTGTTAAAAACTAACAGTCAACATTGGTCAACACTAACGGAGTAATAGTTTAGGATATAAATGGAATATCGGAAAGAATAGGACACAAGTGGCATTTTGTCCATAGTTCGGGTGTTGTAGTGGTATTAGCCCTAATATAAATGCATGTATTGATACAATTGAAGCATTTTAACAATACATTGTTTGGTTGTTGAGATTCTCCTTTATGCATTGATTTACATAAAGTTACTTTTATGAAAAACGTCACATTTACCCTCAACTTTTAGAATATGACAAAAACTATTGGGGATATAAATGGGTTAATTGCAAGGATGGTCACTGGGTTTACTAAAACCGTTCATGTTTGGTCACTGCAAATATTTAATTTCATTCATGGTCACTAAGATTAGTTCAATAGTTCAAGTTTGGTCACTCTCCGTTAGTCTCCGTTAGTTTTTGCTGATGTGGCAGTCAACTATTATAGTTGACCGTTAAATGAGTGACGTGGCCAATAAAAAAAATAATAATAAAATTTAAATATTTACAATTTCCACCTCATTTTACAACTATTAAAAAATAAAAATAAAACTTACCTCCTCCCCAACGTCGTCGCCACCACGAATCTCCGATTCAGCCTCCTCTCCTCCAACTCCTCCCTGCGTTCACGCTCTTCGCGCCCCCTGACCGCTTCCTCTACTCTCTCGACATCTCCGCCGGCGTGCCCCGCTACGTCCGCTTCCTCATCCGCCACATTTCCCCCGCTCTGCTCCCAGCCAACTCCCTCCGCGGCCGGGGCGATTCCTACCTCAGTAAAAAAAGGAAACCCGTCGCCAAGACCAGGGAAATAAACAACACAACCAATTACTTTTTCAAACTTGCAGGGATACTACAAAAGGAAACTCGTCGCCCATTCTAGCCATGCAGTGCAGGGATCAACGACCATCACGACGTTGGCCAATCTCTGCTCTTCTGTGGACGAGTAGCTGGAGGTGATGCACAGTACATGGCTGCTGATTCACAGGCAGCAGCAGCAGCAAGCAGTAGCTTCTGAGTTTCTGTATCTTGGTCTCCATTTAAATGGTAGGCTGGCAAGTCAAACGTGCACTTGGCTCAATTGTGACTGAGATTTTCACCACCTTTCAGAAATGCAATTCCCACTTCTTTCTTTTCCCTGCCAAAAACACATGAACTTAACATATCCAGGCTGCAGACACCCTCTAATTGGTGTCATAGAGATCCCAGAATCGGAACTTAAGGCGCGCAATATACTCCATTGAACTACAAAAAGCAGCCTTACCTATCAGTTCGATTGGTTATTCATTCAACTATGGGAAACAAGAAAATCAATAGCTATGACATCAGCATCCAGGATGCAAACAACAGGCAAGAGTATGCTAACCTTTTTGCTAAGGAACATGCATTTGACAACACCAACTCGAAAGCCAGATCGCACCATGCCTTGTAGATTGACCAACTTTGAAGTCCTCGAGGTTAGTAGGGACATGAAAGAACACAATTGAAAGACTGGAATACCATCTGTCTGTATCAGCTGAATGAACCTAAAAACTAGATGCACCAATCACCATTACCACTACAAAAAACATGAGGTTTGGGAACGACAAAAGTCGTTCCCGGAAATAGTCAAAATCGTCCCCATAGGATTTGGGGATGACTAAGTCGTCCCTATTGTGTGGTGCCCTATACGCTTGTCCTCTATTCTTTTGGGGACGACAAAAATTTAGGTCGTCCCCAATATTAGGGACGATAGTCGTCCCCGATTCTAATAAGTTGGCTTCACGTTTCTTTTTATTAAAGACCACATGTCGTCTCTATAGACATGACTTTGATGACGATGAGTCATCCCCTAAACATAACTTTTAGGGACAATATTATGTCCCCTTAATCCATTTCATGATAATATTGCAGTTATTTTGGGATAATAAATTGTCCCCTTTTCTTTTTATAGGGTCGACATGTCGTCCTTATAAGTGCTATATTGGAGTCAACAAATCATTCCCAAAAGGCTTATTTAAGGACATCAAGTGGTCCCTTATACGATATATTTGGAGACGAAAAATGGTCACCATTGTGACATTTGGGGACGAAAAATTGTGCCTTAACTTGTGCTATGGCAACAACGAATCATGTACACTTTTCGAGAAAGCATATCATCCCTTACCCTTGGCACTAGAAAAACAAGGGTCAGTACTAAGAAAAAATATTTGAAGATAACAAAGGCAAGATATAACACCTTGCCTCCAACTTTTATTTATCTACAAAGAGAATAATTGGTTGTCATTTATATACACAACTTCAACTACCAATCAATAGAAAGTTTACTCGGCTTAACACTAGAAACATGTTCAACCTCTTTGCTTTTAGCACTAGATTTGTTCAGCTTGCTCTATTGCTCTTGTTGTTAAGACAGTTTCGTAGGCTAGCTTGATCTTCCAATCTTCCAACTACCACAAAGTCGAATTATGCAAACAGCAGAAGCCACTAATCATCCTTCTGCCATGGAAATGAAGGAAAAAAGTACCATAAAGTTACATATTTAAGGGAATAAATTAAAATTCATATAGCATGCAATATAAATGATATAAATATAATCATGTACAGTGGGTGAGAACAATATCAATTAATTTGTGCCTATTCTTTGATTTCTCCATGAATTACAATATGAAAAAGTTTGAGCGACATACTATACCAAACATAAGGTTGAGAGATGAGAATAACCATCAAAATATAATACTCAAGAGTACTTACCTAGCTTCTGCTTCTCTTCCAAGTGCATGAATTCTAAATGTCCATGATCTAAGTAGCATCAATAGACTAACAATTAGTCGGGACTCAGTTGTTGAACACTAAAAAAATCATATAGCATTCAAGGAAATAAGAGTTGGGATAAAGCATCGAGAAAATAACTCGCTACAATTCAAACATGTTTTAAACATCTAGATATAATACCACTTTCATAAGTCTCATAATTGAGTTTTTCTACTGCTATATGTTTTGTTTTGCTCTGCTTGTTTCTATTTGGCTACCTTATCATTCCCAGACCTCTACTGCTCTACCTTAGCTAGGGATGGAATTTTTAATTTGACTTCAATGAGATCAGCTATGCACTTTACAATTCATCTCCAGAATTTATTTTAGATTACTCACCCTTATTGAGTAGCTCGTGATTAAGAAACCAGGAGTTGCTAGACTTCTGAGTTTTCTCAAGAGAGCAACCCAGAATCAATCATTTAAACCCTTCTCTCAAATAGTATAATCCATCCAGTTATTCATCCAATTATGTCACAATCACGGCACAATTGCTTACCACTATGAATTTTTCTTAGCAGTAAACAGAAAATGATGAAGTTGATAACTCTTAATCTCTTATACAAAATTAAGATATAGAGATAGAATTCTAGATAGTATACGGCAAATCCTTTTCCCTAATATTGTCCATGAAGCAAACAAGATGCAGAAACTAGATAGAAAAGGCAGCTCTACCAAACATCGAAATACATAACTAGCCACCTATCAAATCAATAAAGAAGTGGAGAATGAAAGAAAATTGAACTCAATGTGGAAGGGACGACCTGTGCTCCCGGCGCCAATTCTCTTCGTTTGCCCTTACATGTTGATTCCTACGGGAAGCAAAAGAATAGAAACTATAATCCAGGAAAATCGTATAAAGCCAAAAAGCAATAGCAAGACAAAGATACAGAACGTAGATGGAGATCGCCGCCGCAAGTATTCGGCTTCCTCAGTTCCTCTACGTAGGGGTTTTTTTTATTGGTTTTTGCCAGAGCTCTACATAGGGTTAGGGAAACGAATGAATAAAAGGATGGTGATTTGCACTTGATTAGGACTTGTAGAGTGCGGGTCAACTCCCGTAATTATATTCTTAACATAGAAGGAAATTTACAAAATCAAATTCTTAATTATTTTCATAACCCGGGAGAATAACCCGCCCAAAACCAATTTTCTCATGGACGGGGACGACGTCAAATAAGCCATATCCATGTTTGATACACTTTAAGGACAACTTTATTAATTCGTCTCCTATTCCACTACAATTAGATTTTCCGGAGACCAGTTTAAAGACTTGTCCCCTATGTTTGTCCCTTAAACTCCTTAATATTGTAGTGTACCCAGCAGAGACACTCCAACCATGCGAGACACGGTTGTATTGAACCCATCTCCGACACATCGCTAGCCACCACGCCGGGAGCACTGCTCGATTCCGCCGTGTTCAAAAGTTCGGTTTGGAATTGGTAGTCGTAGTAGGGTAAGCAGACAACAGATGAGGGAGTAAGAGTGGGAGGGGCTGCCGGTGGCAGCTGGAAAGAGGAGCCATTAATGAATTTTTTTAGGAGGAGGTAAGTTTTATTTTTATTTTTTAGTAGTTGTAAAATGAGGTGGAAATTGTAAATATTTAAATTTTATTTATTATTATTTTTTTATTGGCCACGTCACTCATTTAACGGTCAACTATAATAGTTGACTGCCACATCAGCAAAAACTAACGGAGAGTGACCAAACTTGAACTATTGAACTAATCTTAGTGACCATGAATGGAATTAAACATTTGCAGTGACCAAATATGAACGGTTTTAGTAAACCCAGTGACCATCCTTGCAATTAACCCGGATATAAATGGAAAGAAAAAGTTGACACAAATCTAAAACCAACAATCACAACAATCTCAATTTTTAGTTAAGATTGTACAATGCATCATTTTTTGTGATTGTTGGTGGGACCTACCTAAAACAATACATGCATTGTTTAACACTTTGAGACTTCCAAACATTGTATTATGCACAATACATGTATTCAACAAACACAACTCTAACAATCACAACTTCCAAACGACCCCTTAGAAAACATATAATTGATTCAACTTGTTGACAAGTTTCTTAACTTTTATAAGTACATATATTAGGTAGCTAGTATGTAACTTCTAATAATCTATCATCGATTTTTCATATTAATACAATATTGTTTCATTAGCCTAACTCAGCGAATAAATTAAAGATTGTATCTTCTCTAGGTATAGTATGAAACAAACATTATCTTTATTTTTTACCTTATAGCTTCGATGGATCATCCAAGTTATGACAAAGAAATCCATTATATATGATATATTTTTTTCATTAGTTCTTTTTTCAGGGAGGAATTGAATTTTGGTGTTAGACCTAAACTTTAGGAATAATTTACAAAGACTAAATTGGAGGACAGGAGAGTACACAAGGTTCAATGCAATTATTGTTTGAAACACCACAGCTGCGACCATAAGTATATATGACAACGATGTTATGTAGATATCTTAGATATGCATCGAGATGAGAAATGTTCAAAATTAAGTAAGAGTTTCATGTTGCAAATTATCGAATATGGATGATATATTGAAGACTTGAAACTTCAGTCGGTTAAAGGATTGTTCTTTGCAAATTATGTATAAATCTATTGTAGTTGTATTCAACATCACTTCAGTGCATTCTCTTGTGGTAGACTAGTAGTTAGTTATTCTCAATTTTTGTTGTGAGTGTTTACTTGTATCATTGTACGTATTATACACTCTTTATTCTCTAATTTGTGATTGTACTAGAATTATTGGACAAAAATGTTGATATCACCATAACTATCAGCTAGTGTCCTTTACAAATTATGATTAGTTACATGGCAAGTTTGAAAGTCATACAAATTGATTCATTATGTTTCTTAAATTTTATAAGTACATATACGAGGTAAAAATAAATTCGCTTAAAATTGATTCAACATAAAGTTTTATTATGCGTGTTCTATTTTACTTTTTTCATTTTGTTGAGGAGCACCGATTTAATCACGAGTTTTTAGCGACTTAATACCAGTTCAACTAATAAAATGTGAATCGATCGCTATACCAGTTCCTATTTCTGTTTGGTTCTGACAACATTGATGCTACTCATTTTACAAAAGAACCGTTGCACCTTTTTCCGGCTCTTAGACTTTAAAGCTATGTTTTAACTGCATTTATAGTAGGGACAAATAAGATCATTAAATATATCATCATCATTGTTATTAATTCTTAGGCTTAAGAATGTAGGGTTTAAGAGAGATAGCTATGTAAAATGTGCTTTTGGCATTAACCCATATATTACGAAATAAATATTCGTTGAGTCCCTTTCTCGTGGTATTCTTTATAACTTACTAGCGTGGGCCCCGATCATTTGGCCGGAGGAAGGTGAGATATGAAATTTGATAATGTAATGGAGTGTATAGCTTATTGTTGTATAGTTTTTTTTTTTTTTTTTTTTTGCAAACACGTGATAAAAATAGTGAATTTTAGTAGGAAAGAGACATGAATGATGCAACGAATCAAAAATCAGCCTTATGAACCAAAATCAAGTATCTGTTACCTTGTGGAACAATATTATTTCTGGTAATATGATGAGGTGGAGTAAGTTTTATAGAAACCGAATTCCAAAAAATCGAATAAAAAATCGTCTATCCCGCAGGTTTTCGGGAAATGAGCATCTCACAATCGTTGCTAGCTTTTACACTGTCCGTTGGCCGATTAATTTGCTTTATAAAACTTTCATCTTGTCATCATTGTGGTTTCTGGTTTTTTGCCAAGCCATGATAAAATCTAAAGAAATCAAGAATGAACAACACGATTTGGGATAGGAACCACCGTTCCTGTATCCCTAGAAAATGGTGGTAAACACGGACTCACCTGCCAAACTGGTTTGGAATGAGATTTTTATCGGGTATCGGGGAACCATGTGATTATAAATTAGACGTCACCAAAACGGGCCAAAACTTGAAATTCAGCATGTTTGACCGACCCATGCCAATCTCTAATTATTTTTTACTTTTAAACTTTCTATTTGAAAATAAAAAATAATGAAAGAAAAGAGATTACTGCAATTCGCCATTTGCACATCACTGATTCGGGAATAAAACTATAGAATTTCGAAAGGAAACTGAAAATATTTAGGATCGTTTTAATGTTAAAAATAATCAAATAGATCTTCTGTTTAGTTTTTTACTAACAATACCAAACGATTCCCTATAATATACACTATAATTTAATCATTGTGATATCAAATAATTACATAATATATATTTGAAATGATAAAAATTGGACTAATTGGGTTTGTCGAGGTTGAACCATTGAATAACTTTAAAATACATTATATTTTAGCCACTGAGATATAAAATAATAGCATAATGTATATTATGCTAGAGAAAATAGCTTGTTTTAGAATGACAAACCCATGATGTTCATTTGTTTTAATTGATGGGCAAATCCCGTGTAGGTCAGGCCCATTAAACTCTTTTATTTTACGATTAGCGGTTAGCCCATTATAATTCATGCATTAGTTTATTGTTAAATTTTTTCTTTTTAGCAATAAAGAGGAGTATTGTTTTTGCCTTTTCATATATATTTTACCACCACGGAGAAATAAAAAGGACTTAAAGAAAAAAATTGACACTCCTGGACCCGTTTAAATCCCCATGTGTACGATAAGTTAGCCCGTTCCATAGAGGAAAAAGAAAAAAATTGACACTCCCTATTCTACCCTTCCTGCAAACGCTCCTGGAGCAGGGAATTTGAAATGAGGGAAAGGTTTTTTCCTCTCTGCAATTATATGTTTTTAATTTAATAAGAAACAACAAATGTACTTAGTATGATTGGTTATGATCTTTGCTTTTCTTTAAAGTGGTCATGGTTCGAATCCTAGTAAGTGTCTTTTTAATGAATAAAAAAAGTAATTGTGAAGACCAAAATGTCCTTCCTACTTTCACTCTGGATGCAGGAAATTTGAAATGGGGCTTCATGTTTTCTCATTTGGCTTTTATTTATTGTGTAGATTTATGTTCCTTTTTTATTCTATTCTAGTCTTCGCTAAGCTGAGACAGAAACGGCGGAACACATATTGCGACATTGTCCGAGCTCCCAACAGGTATGGCGAAATCTGGGAGTTCAAGACGATTTGCTAACATGCGACCTTAGCTTTGCAGCATGGCTGGATGAGCACGCCAGGAGGGATCAGGAGGGTCTTTTGTACGGTGTAGCAGCTTGGTACCTCTGGAAGAGACGGAACGAGAAGGTGTTCCACAACTTGACTCAAGAAGATCATGTGTTGGTGCACCTGATCAGATGCTGGACGACGACCATCAGACAAGCTCAAACTGATGACAAGGCGACCAAAGAAGCAGCCCCGAGGAAGACAGCTCATCAGTTAGCTTGAATCCCGCCGCCTCAGGACTGTGTGTGTGTGAATACTGACGGTTCAGTGAAACAGCCAGGATCGACGGCAGCTGGCGGCGGGTTAATTCTCGATTTGTCTGGGAAATGTCTGGGAGCGTTTGTTGAGAATCTCGGAGTGTGCACGATTACTCGAGCTAAAATCATGGCGGCCATCCGGGGTCTTCGGGTTGCGTGGAGGAATGGGTACAGGAAGGTTCTTCTCCAAATGGATTCCACCACAGCTATTAATATCCTTACCTCCAGTGAGCATATGGAGCACATGTACTATATCCTGGTTCAGCAGCTCCAGGAATTACTCAATAAGAGCTGGGAAGTGAAGATTTCCCACATATACAGAGAAGGGAACAAAGTGGCGAATTTTCTGGTCAATAAGGGTCACTCTATTAGCATTGGTTTTCATGATTTTGAGGTCTCAGACTCGGGTTTATCCTTTTGGATCTTGTATAACACTTTGGATATTTCCCAAACCCGTTTAATTTAAGTATCAGGCAGGTACGCTCTTTTAGCGTCCCACTTTCCTACCCAAAAAAAGTCTCGCTAAGCTAGTAAACTTTGTTCTGCCCTCCAACTTTCATTCTTCATCTATTTCTTATCAATAACGGATGCGTAAACTCTGTTTTTGAGATGGTTATTGAAATTAAAATTTAAATATAAGGTTTAGCAATTTTTCCTTTCTTCACATTACCACTAAATTAACTATTGAAGTTGATTTAATCATCAATATGACTTGCAAACTAGTTTCATAGTATAACAGACAAACACTTATAGCACATGTCTCTGATTGTAGAAATAAGTTCATCCAGTATCAACCATGCCAATAATCCAGCATCGCAGGACCTCTCAATCTCAGAACAGAGTCTCTGTGCCAAAACTGCTCTCTAGACAACGCCCTGACTTGTCTCATATACGCACCAAAGCTCACCGCCTCTCCCTCCTCTTCTATCGCCTTCCCTAGCTCACAAACAACATCTTCCACTGCCCGATCCCCCGCCAAATTCTGGATCACCATCTCCGATTCTTCATCCGCCGCCTCAAACCCACCATCACCGTCATCGTTACACGTCCCCGGCGAACCACTTGCTCTCAATCTCATCATCAACCAACCTTCCAACTCCTCGGCTTGTTTCTTCAGTTCGGTCACCTTATCAGTCAGGCTTCGACATTCGTGCTCTAATCCGATGACCAAGCTCGCGATGATGTCTTCCCGATCACGCAATTCCTCCCGCTTGATTTGGAGGCTCTCTGTTTCAGTCTCTGTTTCCGCGGTTAGAGCTGCTAAGTCGTAGTGAAGCATGCCGGCCAGGCGGTCCATAGCCTCGTTCCTCGACGCCAAATCAGGCTGCGAGGCTTTGATTTGGCCTGCAACTTTGAAAACAATTGGTTTACATGACTGAAAAGCCTTATGGTAAAAATATACTTATTTGGTAGGGGTGGCAAAAAAATATACGATAATCCCCACGCGATTAGATCGGGTAAAACTTTAACTAAATAAATCAATTATGTGTATTGATGAAACTCGAATTTGAATATTACATTATTTTCTTACTATCCAACTCTAATCCACTTGATTATATATGCATATGTACTTTTTTCGTGTTAAGTTTAATTCACTTTCAATATGATTGGCATTTATAATACATATATATAACATCACAATAAATTTTGAAATCATGTTCCTTTTTATTATTTCTCTTAAAAGTTGATAATGGTCCTTGTATCTTTTTCACTTGTATATTGTGACGATGCTCACACAAATAGTAACACGATAGAGCGAACGAGGGCCAGCCTAACTGGTGAGTCGGCACACATTTCATTGTAAAGTCATGTGTTCAATTCCCAATGACGACACTTCCCTTACCCCCGGCCCCTAATAGCACCTTGTAATAAGTTATTATTATTATAAAAAAAATAACACGCTAGATGAAAAATAAAAAGAATACTATTATCCCCGTATATTCATTGGTACCAGAAATTCGAACGATTGTGAGCATGTCCTCCATCCTAGTTTTTATTTTGTCAAATTTTATTTAACAAAGACTCTTACCTATAATATCAAATATATGATACTTATTGATGGATATTCTATTTGATACCGGTAGTAGGGATATTATGGACAGATATCGAATTTGTATTTCATATTACTAAATATCAGTAATTTTTTCTTTTGTTGAGGTTGAGATAATTTTTGGGTAATTATTAGATAATCGAGACTTTGACGTAGCAATATATTATGTACCCATAAAATATTGACTTCCACCCTACCAACAACAAATAATGACACGTCAAAGTTTGGTAAAAATCAGCCTCGTAAAGTTATGAACAAAAATAATATTGAAATACTTCCATCTTTGAAAGCCTCCATCCAACCGAAAGTGAAGGCCTAATTTTTAAGCAAGTTAAAAGCCAAAAAAAAACTGAAACAGTACCAGAGAAGTTGCAATCCGCGAAAGGATGATCGAGCGCGAAGATGTGGGCCAGGCTGCGGACCAGGCCCGTGAGGTTGCAGCCAGGGAAAGCCCAATTGCGGAGATACGCAGCGGTGGTGAGGCCGGAGGACGGGTCAACGAAAGGGTGGGCCCGATGAATCCGGGGGGAGGTCGGATTTACGGAGACGAAGACCAGAGGAGGGGCGTAAGGGTAATTCTCCGGGAGCCAGATGGCGAGAGGGACGGCGCCGACGGGGAAACGAAGGTCGCCGACGGCTCTGAGGAGGCGGACGGTGGTGCCGTCGTCGTGTGTGAAGGAGTCGGTGGAAGGGGAGAAAGAAGGGTAATCGGCGAGGAGAGAGCGGAGGTGCTTTCTGATGAGCCATCGCTGTTTGGGGTGCGGGTAGGAGAGCGCGTGCTGGGCCGATGAGCAATCCAGTGCCGTCTCGATGAATCGGGCCGTGTATTTTGATTCCTCCGGCGCCATTGTTACTGTTGATGCAGGGAAGCAGGCCGCCGCTCTTGACACAACAATCGAAGTGAGTTGGTATATTTCATAAGATAAGATGATAGAAAGACCAGCCGGGGGTTTATCGACTTTGAGTTAGTCAACAACTAACTAATTCTTTATATAATTCAGTTGGTGGTACATATATTTGTATTTAATTAGAAGAACATGCCGGCGGGCTGCGAGGAAGTTCCTTCGCCGTGATGCTCAAGTTATCCGGCTCAACGACAACCACACTTCAAAGCTTTCTACCATTGAAATTGTAGGGGGAAATTTCGTATAATGATTAATGATATATAATTTTGAAATTGTAAGTTCAGTTTGAAAATAAAAAACAATTAAAACAAGATAATATATTCAAATCATGTTAAGGAATTATTTTGATCCGAATAACTCATGTATCTTATCTTATCTTATCTTATCTTACTATATATTATGGTTGTTCAATAGTAACTTCTTGCCACATAAGCACTTAAAGAATTCACAAGGTGCCAAGGTGGACAACTTTTTTACAAACAAAAAAGTTAGTTAATAATCTATTAATGGAGTTATCTCTCTCTCTTCTTTTAATGATTTTTCCTCTTATTCATTAATTTATTTTATTTTATTTATTATATTTATGTTTGTAGCCATAGACTAATGTATTTAGAGTGATATATATCGCGTTTGTTTAAACCAAAATATGACTTTATCAAGTAAATTTTTGACTCATTTTTACTAAAACATAATAACAAGTTACATTTTATTGAAAATTTTAAACAATCACAAATAATAATATTTTTATTGATTAAACAAAAATATAACGATAGAAGGAGAAAAAAAAATTGTTAGACAATCAATCTACTTTCAAAAACAAAATATGTTATTTTTATATTTTTGGCTATTAAACACTCTCTTATTTCTAATGTATATATCTATCAAATAAAACAAGTATTATAAAACAAAAGGTTTGAATAGAAACTTTACAATTTACATGTATTATATGACACGTGTGAATGTTAGATAAATCTTTGTTGACGATGTACGGTAAACACTATGTTTCATCAACCACTGATCTAGCATTGATCAAACATGGTTTGACAATTTTTGCTTAATTGTTGAATGTCTTCTACACCAAAGCCTTTATAGTTAGAAGAGTATAAAGCGATATTAGGTTAAAAATGAAGAATCTTTATAAGGGTGAGATCAAAAAGAAAATTGTAAGAATTCATTTGGTTGCATACATGGTTGTGATTCTATGACTCAATATCAAATTTTGGCAATAACAAAAATATTTTTAATATCGAAGTGTCAAAATAAAAATGTTTTAGTTTGTAACAGTAAGCAATATGTATTTGGATAAGTTATCATAGCCACAAAATTTTGTTTTCCTATTCCGCTGAACGAGGTGATTTCAAAGGTCTTAATTATAGTTAAAAAAAACAAAGTAAACTCTTCATATATGCTTAGATATTAATATTGATGTGTCTGCAATACATCCAAGAATTCATATGTATGTGAAATGTCACAATGTTGGTATGAGTTATAAATTTTTAATAAAAAATAAAATTTTACAAAAATAATAATTTTTGTTTAAATGATTTGACGCTTTTAATGCATCTAAATCTATGTGGATTGTAGTTGTAGACATGCTTCATGAATTATTAAGATATATAATGAAATATTTTGTTCCAGAACTAACACCAAGGATAAGGAAATTTTTCCAAATGTACATTAAAAAAGTTGGAAATTATACACTAAAAGACCATGTTAATACGAGAACCCTTGATAGTGTGTGAGAGTGTCTTGGTTTGAGATTCTAAACCAACATGTAGACAACAACCATGGGCTGAGGGTTAGGCAAAACTTCAAGAATTAGCAATTGGGACATATATATATTGAGTAAATAAAATTTGATACCCAAACCTTTCAAAATTTTCAAGTTATTAGCCAAACCTTTCGAAATACAAAAAATAGTCAAATATTTGGTATCGCATCAAAATATTAGTCATTTGACTAATATCTTTAACAATTTTGTAACTCTTCTCTTAATCAAAATACTAAATTTTTTGAATATTGACAGTCTTATGTCTCCTCCAACTCATCATCGTGTTGTTGAGTCAATATTACTAACAAAAATGCTCAAGAGGAGTTAACATTTTGCTAATGCTTTGTATTTTGAAGGGCTTTGGTGATAATTTGAAAAGTTTGAAAGATTTAACTAATAAATTGTATTTACTCTATTGTATAAGATAATAAATTTGAGTTTCTTGATAGACAAATTTTAACATAAGATTCTTAGCAGATACTTAATGAACATTCACATGAAAAAGAGTCAAGATTAGATAAGTTGGTCGTCATAAGGTGTAGAGAATGTGTCAAGTTTCATTTGAGATAAGCACAATTTATCACGCAACTAAGTATCTTTATCCAATAATCTGAACTCTTAATAAGTGGTTGTGAGTTTGTCCTAACTAAAGAATCATGAATTGTTATATGTTTTATAAGATAATAAATTTGAGTGCCTTGGTTGACAACTTTTATATACTATTATAAATAAGACGTGATAAACCTTCACAATATAATTTATGATTAGAGAATTGAAGCATCAGAGGTGAGTGTGCTAAGCATTGAGAATTTATAATATAAACGTATCACATAATCACTTATAAAGTGAGAGCATACAAAAATAAGAACGTTAAAATTAAACATATAAATAAATTAATTGATATAAATGATAAAATGAAATTCTCCGGCCAACGGGCCGGGTAAAACACTAGTACTCATATATGATACTAATTACTAGGGGTGTCTGTTCGGGTCGGGTAACCGAACCCGAAACCAACTAACCCGAAAAAACCCGAACCTGACACTAATAGTAACCCGAAACCGAACCCGAATTGAAGTCTTGCGGGTTGCGGGTACCCAAACCCGATAAATGCACTAGCAGTTTCGGTTCGGTTTGCTTGAACCCGAAAACCGAACCTCCTCCTTGAGCACTCCGCCCAACAACACCTGTTATCTCATTCTTAATTTCAGAATTTCAATTTCTCTTCCATTCCTTCTTCTCCTCGCCTCCACTCCCACCAACACCTGTTATTACTCTTATGTTCCTTCTCATCCTCACCCCCCACTACTTTTCCAACTTCCAACCCCAATCGCCACCTCTTGCTTCATTGTAGCTTTTGCATCTCTGGCTCTCTGCCACCAGCCTACAACCAAGAGAATTGGTCGAATCAACGAAGCTAGGATAAGAATCGACGAAGCCAAGGGAGGAATCGAATCTGGGAAACCATAAAATCAGATCGAAGAAAGATTTCGATGCGGCGCCCGATGTACCCAGATGCAACGCCGACTTGGAAAGCTTTGGCCTCAAACCGAACCATATGCGTCCCCCGGCTTTACCCAGATGCACCACTCGACGTTACCCAAATGCGGCGCCCGACGTTACCCAGAATCCCAGATGCGTCGCCCGAATCGTGGAGGGAAACCACCACTATACTCACCTCGGTCCTTTATCGAAGCCTTGAAATCGAAAGGTTTGGGAGTTTCAAATGAGATGGGAAAGCCTCGAAGATCGAAGTTGAACTGCAAATCCCAAAAGGGCATAACGCTAGCTGAAGATTGGTATCGGGGTTTTTCGGGTTCTTATTGGGTTTCGGGTTACAACGAAACCGAAACCGACGCCACACACATCTGGGTTGAAACCGCAAACCCGAACCCGACAACACTGTTATCGGTTCGGTTTCGGTTGAACCCGGAACCGTACCGACACCCCTACTAATTACTAAGTTTTATTAAAAACAATTATTTGAAATAACTAAAAAAATACAACATTCTAAAGTAATGTATCATTTTACTTCTACACACGATATATGCAAAATAACATTCAAGCCAACTAATAACGTCCTTTTTAGTCTAGGGATGGGCATTCGGTCGGTTTGGTTCAAACTGAACCGAAATAATGCATACCGGATTTCCGATTTCCCTCAAATCGAATTCGAACCAAATTATAATTCGGTTCGGTTTTGTATGAAAAACCGAACTTATGAGGTTAGCTTGTATTTTTTCTCTTTTAAATTATTTTTCACCCCTAATATAAACAATTAAATGCATCATCAATGATAAAATCAAACATTTTAACACGTAAGTCATAAAACACTAACATAATTTAAATATTTAAGTCTCATAATAAGTATAAACATTAAAAACCACCATTTGGAGCTTGCAATTATAGTAATTCGAAAATTCGGTTCGGTCGAAAGGACCTTAATCTCTGAGATATACCATTTTCTCTTCCAAATTCCGAACCGAATTAATGTTATTCGGTTTCAGTTCGGTTTAAATTCGGTTCGGTTCGGGTTTACCGAACCGTATGCCCACCCCTACCTCCCGCACTCTGCTACGTTGGTTGTTCACTGACAACGGAACTACCACCACGGAACTGCGAGTCGGCTTGGAGGTGCCATGGCAGGGAAAGGGTCAGCTTGCAATTTACCGTTACTTCTTGGATGGCTCCTGTATGTTTCTGTTTTTTTTTATTTTCTTTCTTTCTTTTTAGTTTTACCAGGCTTCACCTTTCACAAGTGTGAGATAGCGGAGACGAGTGCCTCGCATGCTGGTTCAGGCAGTCGTTGAGATGTTTAGTTTCAGTGGTCTGTGTTTCTTGTGAAGGAATAAAAAGGATTAATTTTCTAAATACAGATAAAACTAAAATAAATTCTTAAACTATCACACTTTTAAAAAAATTTCCCAAAATACCTAAGTTTGAAGTGGTTCGAGTTTGACGAACTCGAACTACTAACCGGTTCGAGTTTAGGAGACTCGATCTAGTCGTAGATCGATGATATAAACCTCGAACCATGTGGAGTTGAAGTGGTTCGAGTTCAGTGAACTCAAACCACTCCTTTGAAATTTCCAACAACCTTAACTTTGTGCTCGGTTATCCGATCGTAGCAAATTTTTTTTTCATTTCGCATAACTTTTCGAGGACTACAACTTTTATAATAGAAATATTTTCAGAATATATGTGAAAATGTGAAAAATAAAGTTAAATTTACTCCCAAACCACCTTATATTAAAAACTGTTCCTATTTTGAAAATTATTCCTAGTAAATGTTGTAGTACTCAAAAAATTATGCAAAATAAAAAAAAACTTTGCGACATTCGGATTGCGGAGCACAAAGTTATGATCCTCTAAAGTTTGGCAAAATCGAAAAATTGCTTGTTTAGGGGTAACAAATGACATTTTCTCGGGGCGAAGGCACGGGAAATTTTTTTATATATAGGGAATTTCTGTCAAAAGAGCAATATTTTTCCAAACGAGAAATTTTTGGATGGCTATCTTCCTAGAAAAAGTCATTTGCTACCCATAAACGAGCAAATTTTCGAATTTGTCAAACTTTGGAGGATCATAACTTTGTGCTCCGCAATCCGAATGTCGCAAAGTTTTTTTTATTTTGCATAATTTTTTGAGTACTACAACATTTACTAGGAATAAATTTTCAAAATAGGAACATTTTTTAATATAAGGTGGTTTGGGAGTAAATTTAACTTTATTTTTCACATTTTCACATATATTCTGAAAATATTTCTATTGTAAAAGTTGTAGTCCTCGAAAAGTTATGCGAAATGAAAAAAAAGTTTGCTACGATCGGATAACCGAGCACAAAGTTAAGGTTGTTGGAAATTTCAAAGGAGTGGTTTGAGTTCACTGAACTCGAACCACTTCAGCTCCACATGGTTCGAGGCTTATATCATCGATCTACGACTAGATCGAGTCTCCTAAACTCGAACCGGTTAGTAGTTCGAGTTCCTCAAACTCGAACCACTCCGAACTTAGGTATTTTGGGAATTTTTTTTAAAAGTATGGTAATTTGGAATTTTTTTTTAATTTTATCTGTATTTAGGGAATTAATCCGAATAAAGACTAGAATGCATAGACAACATTTGGACATGGATAATTTATCAAAACATCTGAATTCTGATCATGCATTCAAGATTCGAGGATGGGTTATAGACAAAGGGAATAATACCGATCTAGGAGAAACACCCACTATTTTACTGCTCCCTGCAAAACTACACTAATCCTAATCTACACAACTACTACTACCATACCGCAACACAAGGAACCGGTTGGTTCAAACTAACCCCAACCCAAAATTTCCGCCAAACGCAACTGGACACAACCTAGAGTCAATCGTCAAAGCCGAACCACCGAAACCGGACTGAAATATTTCAAGATCGTTTGACCTTTCTCCAGCGGCTTCCCACCACCACCACCTTGTTTGGTAACCTTCTTCTTGGCAGCACAGGGAGCACCTTGATTGAACTTCTTCCTACATGTGGCATCATGCTTCCTTAGAGCAGACGTGCCATTCTTTTGAGAGTCTGCAGCAATCAAGGAATTGCAGCGCTTGCATTTGCCCTTTTGAACTCTCTTTTTGGGGCTCCCTTCCTCAACGAACACCACATCATAGTGATCCCAGATATCAGACCTCTTCCTCTTCTTCGCAGCCCAATCGGCTTCGGAAGGAATCGCCTCCGCTCTGCTGTTTATTTCATCGAAATTGTCTGCAATTTCTTCTTGCAGTGAAAAGGGATGAGGCGTCGACTTGCTTGGGCTTTCCATTACCACTACAAGAAGTTACCAAGAGACAATCCAATCACAGGGTGAGTAATGAAACCGACAGAAAACCATCTAATGCAATAATAAATGGGAAATATAAATCATATGAAAGTGCCATCAAAGTTCCTTCATTGCTCTTAGAATCATCAAAGTTGCTTCCATCACACTCAGCGCAGCGGGTGGTTCCGGTTATTAAATTTACCACTCCCCTGTGCAACCGCTGACACCATATCGATTGTTCTCAAATATGTATTACTTCTTCTGGCAAACCAGTGGGGAGAAACCCAACTTCAAAGCCAATCAAACATATTTGATAACCTGACAATCGAATCCTCCTATGGGTTGCTGATCAAGATAGTATAACTACAAGAAGCATAATGTTGATTTCCATTTCATGGGCCGGGAATGAAGAGGGGGACTGTGGAAATACCATTCATTTAGATACATTCATTTCCCTAACGACAAGCAACTGCGGCAAGAATTAAGAGAAGGAAACAGAACGCCCCTAACCCGGATCACTAGTGACAGAAGGGAAGGAAGGGAAGGAGCAATTACCAGGATTAGTTTCTTGACAAATAGATGGGATGGTGTGGATTTGGGTGTTGGCAGAAAACGATTGAAAGTGGGCGTGCTGCTGGCAGAGCAAAAAATTAGGGTTAGAATCTGCCCATGGGCGTTAGAGAAACAGAATTCAGAACTAAACTCAAAAATTGAACTAGCGACAAGGGAAGGCGGCATTTCTGCGAACGGCGCCTCGCTAGGTGCGGTGAGGGGAGAGGAATCAGAGGAAAGGAAAGCCCAAGTTTCGGCTATAGCTTCGTTTGAGCATGGAGGAGTTACCTGAGGTGAAGGCGCTGGGAATGGAATCGAGGGAGGGGAATGGGTTCTTGACGCTCCGCTGCCAATGCCCAATAGGGGGCAGCAGATAGGGTCAGTAACCATTGGTTACTGACCTATCAGTATTAAATCCGGACCGTAGATCTAGGGATGACATTATTATATTGTTGGGCTGCACGTGGAGTGAGGAGGGGCATTTTTGTCCGATTTTTGAAATTTGATTTCTTTCCTTTTTTTTTTATTTTTTCCAGCATTTATATGTGTTGTCTTTTAATGGAGGAAAGAGAAAAAGCAGACTTTTCTCTTCCTCTCTCTTTTCTCTTTCTTCTTTTCTCTCTTCCAAAATTCTTTTTCCAGATCTAAATCTCATTTCTTCTCTTGTTCTTCATTTTTTTCTCCAACAATCGATGAATAAATTGCAGCCTCCCACTTCAAATTCGGTGAGGCTCCAAATCCTTCTACTCTCAAGCTGCTCCTTCTTTCTGTTTTTTTCTTTTATCGGCCTCAAAATCGATGATGCTCCATATTGTCAAAGAGGGGACAGATCTAGGTGAGTTGAGTTTGCATCTTTTGTGTTTTAGTATTTGTTTGTGAATTAATTCCGATCTTCTTCCTCTTTTTCTTTCTTTTTGCATTCGGTGTTCTTCATTGCGGAGGAGTAAATGACAGGAGACAGAAGACAAGTTTTTTTTCCTCTTCCTCCTTCTGTTTCCCCTTCTTTGAGAATATATATTGAGATTACCACACTATACCATATGGTAATGTGTCGATACCATATGGTATTGACACATTACCATATGGTAATGTGTATATACCACACTATACCATATGGTAATTTGTATATACCATATGGTAATGTGTATATACCATATGGTAAAGTGTCTATACCATATGGTAAAGTGTCTATACCATATGGTAATGTGTCTATACCATATGGTAAAATGTATACCATATGGTAAAGTGTGGTAACGAAATGTATTTTTATGGATATCGTGTTTTACTATACCATATGGTATTGGGTGGTAACGTAATATATATTGATGTGCCAAATTTTTTCATACCATATGGTATGGTCAATACCAGTCATTACCATATGGTAATGACTGGTAATAACTGACAAATTTTTTTATGTCTGAAAAATATCAAAGTGGATATCATTTTGAAGAGCACAATTAATCTGATCTAACTGTGCAAAAAAAATTAAATTCCGACTTAAAACGAGTGAGAAATCGTCCGTTAAAGATTAAGATAAGGAAAATTAAAGGTTGTTTGAGGAGAGAGAAGGCGCTGATGTGATCTGGTCAGCGTCAGCGCGTCAGCGCGTCAGAGACATCATTAAATAGGGGTGCAATTTTACCTTAGTGCCCCTCCGTATTTTTTTTAAATAAAAAGAAAAAGCTGACACGTGGGGGCCAGGGGAAGGGGTTACTGATGGTTACTGAGGTGTTGGTTACTGAGGGGATCCGCTCCCTAGGGAACAGTGAATGGAAGAAAAGTTGGATTAAAATAGAAAGGGATGTGGCGGGAAGGTGATCAGCGGGAGGGAAAGAGAGGAGCGAAAGATAAATTTTTTGAATTTTTTGGGTTAATCATAATTTTGGCGCTTTTACAGTTTTACTTTTACTCCATCCACGTTTAATTTTACTGAATGGCTAAATCTCACCCTAGTTTTACTATCGCCCTAACTAATTAAAGGTATAAATTACTTAAACAACCTTAAAAAACCAAATAAAATTTAACGAAACAAACATGCCCTTATCTCCTTCGTCGAACCAAACATCTCAGGAAATACAGGTCCTCTTCGACGAGGCAGAGCCGGAACAGAATCGCATCGCCGTCCAAAGAATCTCCGCCGCCAAGCCACCTCTGCCACCGGTAACTACAACTGCGAAGTTCTCTCCGGACGCGATCTAATCCCGATCCCGGACCACCGGAAGCACCTCCTAGCCTTCCTCCACGGCGGCTATGGAATCCACTTGGCCGCCCGATTCACCGCAACCAAACTGGATAAAAAACCTCGCAATATAAAATCCTAATCAGCTAGCATAAGAGGGTAAACCTAATCAGCCGGCCGCTGTAGAGAAAAGATGTGGCGATCGCTCTCCAGCAATTTCTATAGGCACTGTCTCCTCCTTGGTTCGTCTCGCAGCATCGATTAAGAAACCCTCTTACAGTAGTCTTTCTTCCTTGTTTTTTTAATTATGTATACTTCAACTGTACTTGCAACGAGCATTTAGTTTTTGTTCATTTTCTTAACAAGCAAAGGCATTTTGCTGGGCGAGGCGTGAGGATGGAGGGGAGTTGTAGTTCGCCATTCTTCCGGACGGGAAGAGGATTAAAAGAGGTGTTTGTTAAAATAAAGGCAAAATACACTTGCATAGCCAAAACTATCACCTTTGTGCCACTTATAGCCACTTTTGGCGAAATACCACTAATAGCCACTTTTGAAAGATCTTGCGTGCCAAATATAGCCATTTCCGTTAGAAACTATAACGGTGTTAATAACACCATCAACTTATCTGACGGTCGGCTGACGAGACGCCAATTCAGCGGACACGTCAGCGACAACTAAGCCAATAGTGACACGTCAGATATTTAAATTATTTATTATTTATGCAAAATAAACAAGAAAAAAATTACGCCCTCCCTTCTCCAGTCCCATCCCATCCCATATCTTCGATTTCTCCAATTCTCCGCCAATTTTGTTCTTGAGGCAGGGAGCTTGTTCTTGAGGGATTGAGAGAGGAGAGCTTCAAATTGGATGGAGGATATTACTACTACTGCTGGACTTCTAATTTCCCTTCTCACCATTCCGGCCGCGCCGGCTCGACAGGGAATGGACCGGCACCGCTGCTCCGGCGGAATCAAATGTTGTGGATCAGGAGCAGTACCTAGAAGAGAGGAATCGGGTCCTGGGTGTTTCGCGTACAGTGAGGGAGGTGGAGGAGCTCGTCGAGCGGCGGAGCGATAAGAACGTGGTTCCGCTATTGCTTGATTTTGATATTCCGAGATCTAAAGAGAGGGAGAGAGCGCCGGCCAGATCCATAATCGGCGCCACGGCGGTGAGGAGCTTCATTGTTCTGCAGTGAGGCTTCTTCAATTGGCTTCTTCAAATGAGGCTTCTTCAAATGAATCTTCTGTCCCTTCCGAAACCCACTCCGATCAATTGGCTTCTTCAAAATCCCTTGTTTCTATCAACCCAACCCATCTCCGCCGCCGTCAATCCTCCACCCCTAAACCCCCAGCTCCCGACGTCGTAGAGAAGAAGCCGGCCACTTCTCGTCTCACACTCTGGAGGAACTCGACTCCAAACTCTTTACACCTAAAACGTCGATGAGAAAAGCAGAGTCTGTCCGGAACGCCAATCTAATTAAAATCCGAACCTAGAAGAATCTAGACAAGAGTAGCGAGAGATTGAAGGGAAATCGGTTACCATCGACCGGGTAAAGCGTGACCCACTCAACGACCATGATGATGAGTGGGTTTGGGAGTTTCCAGAGGCGGGGAGGGTTTGGGAGAAAGAGGGATCTGCAAGATAAGCAGAGGGTTTGGGAGTTGCAGAGGCGGAGAGGGTTTCGGAGGCGGCCACATGAGGAGATGGTTTGGGAGTTGCCAAAGGCGGAGAGGGTTTTCGGGAAAGAGGAATCCGAGTTTGGCCCTGCTCCGGCTCCCGGAGTGATGCGACGGCAGATAGGGATTTTGAGGGAGAAGAGGAGCTGCTTTGGAGAAGGCTGTGATATTTTTGGGGAAGATGAGTTCCAGAAGAAAGATGATGAAAATTTTTGTGGAAATTTTTTTTCTTTCCTTTTGTTGCCAACGAGAGAAAGGGGAAGTGAGGTGAGGAAGGACAAATCATTTAATTAATTTTATTTTTTATTTTCACTAATTAATTTCTGATGTCCATTATTGTTTTTTTTTAATTAATCATTATCCACGTAGATAATTACAGAGGATATTGGAAATAAGAGCTCGCCACATCACCATTTCCGTTTGTCCAGTCAGACTTAACGGTAACAGCGTTAAAGAATCGGACGGAAGTGGCTATTAGTGGTATTTCGCCAAATGTGGCTATAAGTGGCACAAAGGTGAAAGTTTTGGCTATGCAAGGGTATTTTGCCTAAAATAAAAGATAAAAAGATAAAAGGATAAAAATGTAATTCTAATTTTTAAGTTAAGGCGATTATATTAAAATCTAGGGCGACGATTAGCAACTCCCTAATTTTAACCCTCCAACTAGTACTTCTGGAAAAAATCCCACTTTACACATGTTCTTAAAAAAAATTCCAAATTTTTTTTTTAAAACGGTGACGTGTTCACTGTGTTTGACAAAAGTGGTGATTATATTCACTGTGTTTGTCAAAAACGGTGAATGTCAAACATGTGTAGTTTTAGAAAAAAAATTATAACTTATGTATTTTGAGAATTTTTTTTAAGAACTAGTGTACTTTAGGATTTTTTCAGTACTTCTACGGTCCAGGTTATTCACTATCTTAAAAAATCGTATGAAAACCCGAAGATTTACGTTAGATATTATAAAAATAATAAATATTACCACAAATATAGTTGTACAAAAATATTTTTAAGGATATTGTGACGGGAGGTGAAAATGCACGACCACACGCATACTAAGCGAAAGTAGAATAGTTTAGCTCAGCTCGTGAGCTGTCGCGTGAGCTTAGCGAAAAATAAATAAATCTAGCTCAGCTCACATGGCGCCGCGCGAGCTGAACTAAATTTATCTACTTTTCGCTCAACACGCACTACACCATACGGGCAGGGCTAGACATATTCATTTTTTGCTCAACTAGCGCGGTGCCTCGCAAACTGAGCTAAACAATCCTATTTGCGCTCAGTATGCGTGTTACTGCATATTTTCGCCTACCCATCACAATATCGTTGTAAATATTTTTTTTACCACTATGTATGTTGTAATACTTTTTAATTTTTACAATATTTATCTAAAAGACTATGAAAATCCGACCCCTCCACGTAAGCTTTTATGCTCTATCCATAATTCATAATTATTTCTAATTTACTTTTTTGCTTTTATTTTTAACCGGTGGCACGGTCAAGATAAAGTAGCCAAGGATTATGCACCCTTTCATAATTGAATGCGTCCTTAGTTTTGAGTGGGGTCAAAAGTAGAGATCGGCAACAAAATCCGAACTCACGGGCACCCTATCCGATCTAATCCGATCCGGTCAACGCGGGTAAAACTCGTGTTGACAGGTTTTGGACCGAGTTCAGGTTTAAACTTGCTACACTGTTCATCGGGTTGGATTGGGTTTAGGTATACACGTCCCATGTGTACCCGCACACACTCATATAATTATTGTTTTAGTATATTTAATATTCTAAGCAATATATCTTCCTTAAACATGCTAATCTTCTTTATGTTTGTGAAGACATGTCTAATTTGTTCTTTCTAATTTTGTAGAATCAAATTGATATTATGGAGTGGAGAGTGAAGAAACTTAGTTGACAAGGAGGAAGAAGATTCAATTAATCATGTTGTTTATAGATGTTTATCTTTAATTTTGAACAATTTGTATGGATAGTTTGTGGTTTGCTTGTATGCTCTATAGATGTTTTTTGTATGGATAATTTGTATGCGAAAATGGATGTTAGACTTCTATTTTTAAGAAACTTGTTATTGTGTATTTTTCACCACAAAACCCATAGATATCTATGAACCCGCGGACACCCAGCGGGTTGGGTTGGGTTTGAGTTTTTCAAACCCGATGGGTTTTACCCCGGGGTTTTTTTGTGTGTGGATATACCCATGGGTTTTGGTTTGGGTTTGGCCAAATCCAACCCAACCCGGCTCATTGCCATCCCTAGTAAGAAGTGTCCAAATCTAAGGGATGAGAATTAATGATTTTTTTATTTTCCTTGGTTTTCTTAATCGAATATTACCTTCTTTGCTTTAACTTGATTTCAATTTTTTTTTTTTTTTGCGCAGATTGAACAGGCTCATTGTGATATACAAAACGAGACCATTTTCGAGGAGCACGCTCTTTTTATACTTCCCAACGTCAACGATCATGGTTTTGGCGTAGAGATCATGGTCTCAGACTGTGATCCTAACACAAAAACCGTGATCACCACAAAAAATGGTGAGTTTGGGGCTGACATCACGGTGCATTTAAAATCACGGGCCCTTGCATGTGAAAATTACACAGCACGCGATGTCTATAAATCTTCAGAGATCCATGTTTACGTCACGGGTAGGTGGTAATTTTCATGGTTGGAGGCCGTGAACATTACACCTAAACCATGATGTGTGCAAAAACAGGGATTTCCACAATTTTCAAACTCAATCTGTTCAACCATGCCCCAAACTCAAACTTAACAAATTCATCGATAAAAAAACCAACCATGGGCACGGTGATCGTCCAAAACTCACACACTTGTTTCTAACACACACAGAAAAAGAGAAAAATAAGGAAAAGAAACACATATGTTTGGTTGCCTCCCAGCAAGCGCTTGTTTTACGTCATTAGCTAGACGTTACGGATCTTCATGCTTTGAAAGATAATTAAGGCTACCAAGAGTGGATCCGCCACATTCTCGGGGTGATGCTTGGTCCTTCGGATTACCATTTCCGAATGATGGCCTTCATAGCCCCTTTCTTCTCCTTGCCCTTGTTCTTGTTGCGGGGTAAGCATAGGTTTTTCATCTTTTGGTGCCACTCATTCTTCTTCACTTCAGGTTTTGCACCTGTCTTCGAATTCTGTTTCACATCGTCACAAACACGAGGAGCAAAAAGGGGGATTGCCTTCGAAGTCTTCCGCTAATAATAACACTATTCGATTCAATTTCATCCAGATTCTTAGGCTTATCACTTGGATCAATAAAAAATGTGATACTCTCCTCACTGTCCCTAAAAATCAACATTATCTCATCCATGCTATTAATTCTTTGGCGGTAGCTAGGAAAGGTCGTCCTAGTATGAGGGGTATGTCGGTATCTTCACTAATATCGAGGATAATAAAATCCATTGGATAGTAAAACTTGCACACTCGAACTAGGACATCCTCTACTATCCCTCTAGGATGAATCATAAAATGGTAAGCCAATGTAACACTCAACCTATTGGTTTTCAATTCATATAGGTTTAGCTTCTTGTAAAGCTTGCATGGCATTGTAACACTCTTTTTTTTTTTTTGGTCAAAAGATATCATATATTGATAAAAAGATAGTTACATCCTGGACACCAGCCAGGCACGGAAATCAAACAAACGACTCATAGTCGGATACAAAGAGAGGGCTTTTCTAGCTACCAAATGAGCTACCCTATTGTTTCCCCGACCTATAAATCGCACACTAAACCCTGGGTGATCACACAAATATTGACCAATTTCCTCCAGGATCGCTCCCAACCGATTATCCCTCGCATCGCCCTGATTAATTTTATCAATAAGCACCTTGGCATCTCCCTCAAACCGGACCTCAGTGAACCCATACTCCAAACACCAGGTTATAGCCTCTCGCAGCACCAGCAACTCCACCAGTGCAGGCTCATCTTTACCAGGAAACTGCACCCCCTTCGCCAGAATTATCCTGTTCTGAATGAGAAGAACCACACCACCAGCCGAGTGTGATCCCCTCCTGGTCGCCCCATCCCACCTACAAACCATACGAGAATCCCCCCCGAAACCATCTGAACCCTTGGCCCTGCCACCGTAGGCGCCTGCTCAAGGGGCAGAGTCACTCATTCCTCAACCTGCTGATGGATCTGTCTCATTAGCGCGGGAATCCCAAACTGTTTGCCCTCAAAGACAACCCAGTTCCGCGACCGCCAGATCCTCCAAAGGACCGCAACTACCGTCATAACCAACGACGGTTGATGGATTAAGGCCAACAGACGTTTGAGGAACAGGGGGAACGTATGACGAGGCAAGCCCTCACCCAGATAATCCAGCCCAGTGTAGTCCCAGAGAGCTCTCGCAACCGGACAATAAAGAAACAGATGTTCCATTGTATCAGGGCCCTCCCAGCAGACTGGACACCGGGGCAACACAGGAACTTTTCTCCCAATCAACGCCTCTGTTGTAGGTAGAACCCGGTTAAGAATTTGCCAGACGAAAACCTTCAACTTCGGCGGTATTTTAGCTTCCCAGACTCTGATCCAACTAGGTTTGTCCATCAAGCTAACCTCAGACCTCCATCCGCCCCTCCGCCTATCCAAATCAACAGCCAGATGATAAGCGGATTTCACCGAAAACACCCCATCAGCTGAGTTGTGCCAAATAAGCTTATCAGCAATACTCCGGCGCGGAAGAGGAATAGCCTGGATGGCTTTGAAAGTGGGAGGATCAAACCATTGACTCAGCTTGCTTTCCGACCACCGTCCTTCCCCTTGACATATAACATCCGCCACCAATGGGTCCCCCCCCTTTAGGAAGGATTACCGGATTGTAGCAAGGGGCATCCAACTGGTATTCAGGTATCCAGTTTGAGTGGAGCAGAGAAGCCGACTGTCCATCACCAATCTGCCATCTTACCCCCTTCTCTAACAACTGGCGCCCATAAAGGATACTCTGCCACCCCCAAGAGGGCCGAGATCTCGCAGTGGCCTTAAGAAAATAACCAAGAGGAAAGTATTTCCCTTTATAAACTTGCGCAAGGAGACACTGCGGCTCATTCAGAATCCGCCAGCCGATCTTCGCTAACAGGGCTTGATTAAAATGTTCAAACTGGCGAAACCCCATTCCCCCCTCATGTTTGCTCCTACACATATTCCGCTAGGACACCCATCTAATCTTGAGATGGTCCTCTGTAGCACCCCACCAAAATCGGGCTACATGTTTATCTAGAAGCCGACACAAGGATAGGGGGAGCCGGAAACAGGACATAACATGCAAGGGCAAGGCCAAAGCTATGGACATGGCATTGTAACACTCAACTTATTGGTTTTCCAAAAGTTCCCATTCTAACTCAATTAAACATGATCACATTGCACCAAGATACTGCCTGCAATGAATCTTCTAAAGTTGTGAAAGAGGAAGGAGTTGTTGAACTTGTGGACAAAGAAGGGATTACCTTCTAGAGATATTGGAATGGCCTTACTCGACCCCAATCCTCTATCTTAGTAAACCTATCCCATTGAGCAAAGCTTACATTCTTGCGATTCTCCAATCCTCCTAAAATTCATTAGACCATGAGAGGAAATAATGAAAGTCATTAGTATCACTACCCACTAGAAAATTTTAGTCTTACCCCACAAGAAAACCCATGGCAGCCCTATGATGGTAGTAGTCGCGCTAGGCCAGACCCATCAAGTCATGCTGGATTTCAGAGGAGGATTTACTAACGGGCCAAGCAACTAAATGAAGAAGAGAAACACACGACGGGTCCTAGTCCCGTTGGGCCGCTGCAAGCCCAAGCTCAGTGGAACATCGGAAATACTCCTTTCTTCATCCCCAAGACAAGAAATCTGGGTCCCATTGGTATCAGGAAGCCTTTGACAGTGTTTAAAAAAACCTAGTTCTTTAACTACAAATAGGGAGTCAGGTTAAGGGATTTTGTAGGTTGCAAACACTCACTAAAAATACTTTTTCAAACTCGAGCAAGGGGCCACTCAGCCTTTGGGAGGCGAAATTAGCAGTCATAGGAGGGTGCTAAAGAGATGTCTTCATCGTGGATTGTGGTATCATCCTTCTTTTTCTATTTATGGTAGTGAATTCTATTGATGCTTATAGCATCTTCTTCATATAATATTATTATATGCTTTTGTTTATTGTTATCTATGTTATTATATGCTTGTTTCATTAGATGGCTTAGTCATGTGACATTTATACCATTGAATGCATATGTCATGTGATGCTTATGATATTTCAATGCTTAAGTTATATAATACTTTAATCATTTGATGCATATATCATCTATTATGTTCTATAATAGGGTTGCTTATATTATCATTGAATGTTGCATGACAAATCCAACTTATGTGACATGTCATTGTTTTAGGCGTGTATGGAATGGATTGATCACCCATTTATACTCGATTATGTTTAATGGTTGATACCTTATAAAATCAATGTTATAGACCACCACTATTGTTTGTAGAGGCCCCAAATAGTGATGTGTCATCCATACTTCCATGATTGATTAGTCTAGTGGCATGAAGTGAAAGCACGCATTAGTAGTCATAATTCCTAATGCATGTGGTTAAAACTCGAATAGTATGACCTTAGTGGACGGGATAGAGAAACATGATAGAAGTTGCATTGTAGCTTATCATTATTGAGATTAAAATGCATGATCATCTAGAATTAGTTTTCTTATCAATGTGTATCTATACTTTTATTGTCTTTTATGTTATGATTTTCTTTATACGCATCTAAATACCAACTAAACATACGGAACCTCAAACCATCTATTTATGTCGAGTCATTGTTTGAGCATTGGATGATTAGATGTGAGTAACTATTATTAGAAAGCCTTGTGAAATACGACTCTATCACCTTATACATTCTACGAGAGACCACTCTACGATACAAACGAGTTTCATAAAAGTAAACTACATCAGGATTATTGACACGAAGTACACTTAGGATAGATTGGAATGTAAGGGATGGTCCAATCCAAGGTTGTCAACCCGGTTTAGCCCGTTGGCCCAATCGAGCAAGTGGGTTGAGGAGTAATGGTCCAATCGTTTTAGCCTGGTTTAGCCCGGATTAACCCAAATATTTGAGAAAAGTTATTATTTTTCATACATAAATTTATTATATATCAAATTTCAAATGAATAACATAACATTACTCCAAAATAATAGTTTCATACTTACATCTAATGAAAATTCAAACGCACTTAAATACACCATATCATATGACATCAGTATTCAAATGTATATTTTTGTATTGCACAGGTTACTATAAAAAATGTACAATTTTGAATAATTAATTGACTTATATATACCAACAAAATAAAATGATTGATTAATTAAACAACACAACACAAGAAAAGGGAAGTTGGAAACCTACTTAATCCGTTAACCGTGAAAGCCAAAATTTACGAAGTAGAATTATAAAAAATATCAAAATTAATTAAGTAGAGAAGGTTAATATATTTGTATGACCCGAACATTTTACAAATTAAACATTCTAGCCAATCTTTTCAATCTATAACATCGTGGCCTCAATTATGCATCAAAGTTAAGAAATTGGTCAAACCCGAGATTTGACCATTATCTTAGACGGTAAAACACGTTGACTAACAGTCAATGCGGTACGTCACTGTCAAGTCAGCGCAAACCACTTAAAAATTTTGGTCTTTTTCCACCTATTAGCATTTATCTTTTTTTCAAAATAAAAACGGGCGTTCATTCCCCCCCCCCTTCTTTTGTTCAAAATAAAAAAGATAAATGGTAATAGGTGGAAAAAACCAAAAAAATTAAGTGGTCTATGCTCAATTGGTAGTGACGTGGCACGTTGACTGTTAGTCAATGAGTTGACCATCCAAGATAATGGTCAAATCTCGAGTTTGACCAATTTTTTAACTTTGATGTATAGTTGAGGTAACGATGTTATAGATCGAAAAGATTAGCCAGAATGTTTAATTTGTGAAAAGTTCGGCACATACAAATATATTAACGCTTAATTAAATGATAAAACTTAACCCTCAAAAGCATTGCATCCTAAGGTCACCTAATTCGCCACCACAACCCCGACGTTCCCGCTCTAAATCGCCAAAACGCGATTTTTATGGAGTTCGAGGAAAATTCGCGATTTTCTTTCGGCGAGAGCGCGACTTGAGATTTTGGGAGCGCGCTTTGGGATCGAACGCAGAAGATTATTGGATTTCATGACAGCTCATGCCATATCAACCCACCGACTCCACTCCGACCTCGCATTCGCCATTCCATATTGACGCTCTTTTCACTTTCTCAATATTGAATTCTTGCAAAATTAACGTTTTCCCGCTCCCGCTCCACGAACTCGTTACCTAATTGCATCCATCTGTTTTATGAAATTGGTGGGGTCCATGGTTGTCACGCCGGTCGGCGTGTCACTGGTTGAACCTGGTTCAACCGGTACCGATCATAAAACCGGCGTGACACCACCGGTATAACCGGCATGATCGATATACGAATCTCTAAGTAAAATGATCTTATCTTAGTGAATTTAATTGATAAAAATTAATTTATGAGTATTTGTAAATTATTTGTAGTATTGACCGACATAAACTGACACAAACCAATATGTACCACCGATCGAACCATTTCACTTGCTAAACCGACACACTAGTATAAACTATAAACCGGTTTGACAACCTTGGTGGGTTCTGATGTCCACTTTCATGTGGATTGTGGACCAACAATGAAAATTGAAAACCCACTTTCACGTGGCCCCTGATGTCCACATCCTCCACCGTATCAGTTTATTCACCCACCAATGACCAACCTAATAAACATGAATCCCGGGCAAGGGAGGAGGACGAACAAAAATCTGTACGAGTAATGGCTTCTCTCAACCCGTGCTTGGAGCTCCGACCACTGGGCAACACTGGACTGAAGCTCAGCTGTGTCGGGTTCGGAGCTTCTCCTCTTGGCAATACCTTCGGCCCAGTTTCGGAGCAGGACGCCCTCGCCACCGTCCGCGAGGCCTTCCGCCTCGGCATTAATTTCTTCGACACCTCTCCGTACGCTCTCTCTCTCTGCTCTCCCCTTTCTGAGTGTTGATTGATTGATTTCATCATTCCTCAGTAGCTATGTAGAAAATACGAATAACGGGTTTGATCCCTCTTTGATTTATTGGTTGCTATCTAGAGTTAAAAGTAGGTTGAGAGAGATTGAGATACTTTCAGAAGCCTGGGAACAGCCATTGCTATGCTGTTTCAGGCAAGCAAGGCGTAGGGCCTGGACTCTGGAGCCGAAGGACCTAATGCCAATCCGTTGCTGTTTAAGCTCTTTAGCCTAATCAGAACCCTTCTCTGTACAGTTTCTGGGGGAGGAGGGTCCTTGGCTATGCAGAATTGATTTCCGTATTGCTTGTTTACATGTACTTTAGGTATTATGGAGCTACATTGTCAGAGAAGGTGCTTGGTAAGGCACTTAAAGCTCTAGGGGTTCCAAGAAATGAGTATATCGTGTCGACCAAATGTGGAAGGTACAGCGAGGGCTTTGATTTTAGTGCCGAGAGGGTGACAAGGAGCATCGACGAGAGCTTGGCGAGGTTGCAGCTGGATTATGTTGACATACTGCATTGTCATGACATTGAATTCGGGTCTCTTGATCAGGTCAATAGTTCACGTCTACTGCTGCCGCCGCTGCTCCTTCGTAACTGAACTAATTAACTTACAAAATGGCAACCCTATATCTATTATTCAAATTGTTGTAGTGGTGACATGGTTGTCAATGGCAGGTTGTAAAAGAGACAATCCCTGCTCTTCAAAAACTAAAGGAAGCTGGGAAGATCAGGTTCATTGGGATAACTGGACTTCCACTAGAAGTGTTCACGTATGTGCTTGATCGAGTGCCACAAGGCTCAGTTGACGTAATCCTGTCTTATTGTCACTTCTCTATCAATGATTCAACCCTACTAGATCTACTTCCTTATCTGAAGAGCAAAGGTGTAGGCGTAATCAGTGCTTCTCCGCTTTCAATGGGACTGCTGACAGAAAATGGCCCACCAGAATGGCATCCTGCTTCTCCTGAACTGAAGGTATGCTTTCTCCCCTCATGTAATGTCACAATGACCTTCCATCAATCTGTATTTTATGAGAATTACCGCGAAGCTTAATGCGAGTGGTGGAAGCACATCTTCTTTAGTTGAACCCAAGATCCCTTTTGCATCTCCGATTTTGTCTTTCAGTCTCCCATTTGGTTTGGATTCAGTGAGCGAATTCGCCAAGGACAAGGAGACCATGTTTGTGTTCCGAGATGTTTGCGTGAGTAATTATGCATTTCTTGTTTGATCTCGGTGCAGGCTGCCTGTAAAGCTGCTGCCTCGCACTGTAAGCAGAAAGGGAAGAATCTTCCAAAGCTAGCAATGCAGTACAGCTTCACAAACAAGGATATCTCGACAATATTGGTCGGGATGAACTCAGTAAGACAGGTTGGTCACCTATTCCACGCTCGACTCTGCTTTGCTGTGTCTTCAATGTTAAACATGTCAAGCTAACTAATACAAGTTAAGAAACAGGCTGAGTAGGAGTTTTTCAAACTGAATACAAATTATGCCTTTGTTTGAAGGTCCAGGAAAATGTAGCTGCCGCTACAGAGTTCGCTACATTTGGACAGGATGGAGAAATGCTAGCGGAAGTAGAAGCAATTCTTTCCCCCGTGAAAAACCAGACGTGGCCTAGTGGAATCCAACAGTAAATTCCTAATTTGTGGTTCATGGCCGTCTTTCCAGCAGAAGTCAAGCGTTAAGAATAAATTTGCCGCCGCATGGCACTCGAACTTGTAACTAAAACCTACTTGTGAACTTTGGACCGTAACTAATGGGATCGTGATGGCGCAAAATTGTAATGCATGATGCTATTAAGTAATAAGTTGTGACATGGAGCTGATTTGTGCTGAACCGTAACTAAGGGGATCGTGATGGCGCAAAATTGTAATGCATGATGATGCTATTAAGTAATAAGTTGTGACATGGAGCTGATTTTGCTAAATTATCCCATCTATATTCTCTATTTCTAAAAACTCGAATCCATTCCCGCTTCATATTCATGCTGGACTTTGCCACTCAATTCCATACTCAACATTTTTGGATACTTGTGAATAATACCCCTCCGTTTATCCAATATTATTATTCCCAAAATTAATAAAAATAGCTTAAGTATGATTCAGAACTTAAGTAGACTTGCCTTTTACCTGACAACTGAGTTGAGCACAAGACTTTTGCTCAATCGTTACATTACCTTAATCTCCTTCGTTTGAGCATATTCGACGAGGAGAGCGACTGGAATGTGCGATGAAGAATTGGGTGGATGAGCTCGAGGGAGAGAGAGATAAGAGTATGTCAATGATCTATTATCGGAGGTTAACAAGCCTTAATCGTTTAGAATGCTCATTGTTATCTATTTGTGGCTTGATAACCCAAGGGGTGAAACTGGGTCAAACCCAACCCTGACCTTAGAACTACTCTAAGATACCTAGCCCTATAGGGCAAGTTATGAACCCAGCCTAACCCTACCCTATTTCTCACGACCATGTTTGACCCACATGGGTTGGACTAGATCGGGTTGGGTCAAGTCTGAGAGTCGGCCCAAATCAACAACACACATAATTAGAAAATTACAATTTAGTACAATGTATTTTTCTTACAATTTTAGTACCTAATTTTCTTTTATAAATAGGTCAAGAAACTCTTATGGTGAAATTACGTTTTAGCATCCTTACATTTTTTTTTACTACATTTTTTTTAGATTACATGTAGTATCCAAATATGTCAAATCTTTTGGTATGAGAAATTCCAAATTACTAATTGTTGCATAGCCTCAGGGCCAAAATGGTTCAAAATGGATTTTGGTAAAACCCATGACCTAGCCCTATTTTAATGTGACCTGACATTTTGACCCTCAACTCTCAAGTCTTATTTGTCCTACCCGACCCTCAAGGTTATATGGGTCAGGCCGGACCAGTGGGTAGTTCAGGCCAATGTTATAGCCCTACAGACAAGAGATTTTCATCTTCCGTTTGTGGACACACATCCTTCTTATGGATTAATGATTTAATCGTTAAATGTAGGTTAGCAATGAGGGTAGGGGTAAAACTGCAAACTGGTAGCTGCTTAACATAGCCCTAATAAGACTCCACAAAAGAAAGCATAAATATCGCATTCTTCAAAGACCGCCCATTCCAAACAGATGATTCCACAGACAGAATAATGTGGTATGTTCATCAACCCGACACCAGCACAAGACCAACGACCAACTCTTCTTGTTCAATAGAACTGCAGACACGAAGCTGACTATCGATGACTAAGGTTGCCGAGGCAAACCGAACCAGACCAGACAAGACCACTGGAAACACACTGTACCCAACAACCACCATTCGAGACCTCGACTTTTTACCAAAGACAGACTCAAAAGTCAAAACAAACCAGTTTAAATCGCCCTAACTTAACCGTATTATATTGCGATCGCAAAACCTATGACCAACCACACCATCAATCTCACACACACCACAGGTTCTTCGTTCTTGCTTCGTGCCCACGCATATTACTGACTGCAGCTGGTCAAATGACTTCCACAAACCACAAACATACCCCAAAGGTTTTGCTTCCTCCTGTTGGTTTCAAGCTGATGAAGCTGGTTCAGCATTCTTCTTTTCTGTCTCCGCCGGATCCTTCTTGTCATCAGCAGTTGCATCACCGCTGGTTCCCTTTGTACTGCCCTCGGTCTTACCTTCCTCGACACTCAGCTTGTCAAGAAGCTTGGCAGTCTCTGAAGCATCTCCACTTTCTTCCTTGCTCTGACTTTCAGCCACCTCCTGAACATTCTCCATGAAAGTTTTGCAGTCTACAAGAACAGAAACACATCAGGTCTGCATATTACGTTACTCTTCCAAAAAGGCCAAACGTTTTTTGAAAATCGAACTTCCAATATAGAACGAAAAATGGCAAAATTTAGAGATTTCAGGTACACATCTTGCAGTCCTTTTCCACACTTCCACAGTAACCGGGCAACCATTTAACCTCACCACGTATTAATACCTAGCAGCAACTAAGATGATGATTATAATATCCAGAATTTGTTCGAGGTAATTGCTTCTATAAGGCAATTTCTGTACTATGATACCACTTAACAACATCCTGTACTTACCGTATTCATCAATAAGGAAGAGAAAAACAATATCCTGCTGTGACAAGGGATATTCAAAGCATGGAAAAACCCACTCTTAGATTGGGTAAAGTTTTCAGGATTTATTATTAGTAAGCAGACTAGCAGCCCTGGCAGAAAACTATCATCTTTACTAGCGCGAAGATGCTAGAAGCACGCACAGTAGCACAACTTCATGAATAACCTAGCGGGATATAAGCATTCTCCTTTATTGAAATCACAGCTTCCTGTCTATTTAACTTAAAGATCAACATCTAGGTATCTTATGATGTATAGTAGAATGAAAATGTAAAAAACTACAACCTAAAAACACATAACACCAAGCTTTAGAATGTAGAAGAAGCTATAGACATCAGCTCACAGTTTTGAGTTGAGCTAGTAGAAGTGAATGATGCACCCTGTAGCTTGAGAAGACAATAATAAGAAAGGCAAAGACTGCCGCAATGTCTACAGCAACTCAGGAAATCAAAACAAAATGAGCAAATAATGTTCCTCGACGACCACGAATGAGAAGTGCGATATTGAAAGGCTCTCTAAGCACAAATACCACGACATCATACTTCGAATTTCATATTGGCAGAAAGTTGCACATTGCCATGTCTAATTGTAACAGTGTAACTGTGTAAGTCACCAACGAACAGATAGCAAAAACACGCAGGTAAAAGGACAAAACCCGAGTAGAAACATACTCTCAACAGAGGCAAATCTGATGCAGAAGAGCTCATCCTTCAACTCCTCATCAGCGAAATCAGTAGCATGCCATATGCATGATTTATCATTGCCCGGATGCTCTTGAACTTTCGTTCCCGCAATAACTGTAACACGAGCAAACGGACAGTTCTAACTGAGTCATGATCTTTCTATCCACTTGCAACCAATCACAAAATGAAAAATTGTATTCCAGATCACTCTCCATGATTAACTCGGATTGGAAAGAAAGAATCAGAGATAACGAAAGCAGACCTAAATGGTTAGCACAGATCTTGAGTGTCCTGGATTGGCGAAAGACGAGGCGGACTTTGCCAGTGTCCTTATGCTTCAACAGCTTCACCGTTCCAGTTCCTCTCTCTTTCCACTGGTTGCTTTCCTTGTCGAAGCGATAAAGTTTCGATTTCCTATTCGAAAGGATCAGAGATGGCAAAAAAAAAAAAAAAAACAAACGAGACAAAACCCCAAAGGGACAAAGGTTATCAGCAAGCGCCCAACAGGAAAACCATCAAAACCTAGGGAAGAACAAAAGAGAGTAGATGGAACAGAGTGCCGTACAGATCGATGATAGGATCCTCATCCTCCTCGCCGGTGGTCACGGCCACCTCTTCGAGCTTCACGATGGGAGCGACCTGAGCTCCGGTGTCCTCATCATCAGCCGCCGGCGAATTCTCTTCTTCGTCCTCTCGCTCCTTCTTGTTATTCTCTGGAACGACTGCGGAGGGAGTAGCACTGGCCATGTCTGCTATAAGAGCGGCCGCAGAAAGCAGTAAGAAAAACAAATGGGGGGAGAATCGAATCGAAGCGAAGGAAAAGGAGAAGAGTGGTGAGCAGGGGAAAGATAGTTTAGGGCTCAGCCTCAGCGTAAGCAACAAGACGGGACGTGATTGCTGTTTGGGATCCGTATTTATATCTAGTGGAAAAGGGGAATTCAGTGTGGGCTGCGTCGTCAAGGATCGGGCTCATCACGGCACGGGGATGGCCTTCGAACAGTGGGCTTTTAGTTTTGGGGTTTGCGGCCCAAAAATTACTTTTCTTTCAAGAAGGTGTGGTTTACTTGTTACTTGTCTCATTTTTACAAATTGGGTGAATTTGAATTGTCTACCCACATTTTCGAAAGAAAAAAAAAAATGTGTCTACCCACATTTCAGACAACTGTAATTATTTTAAAATGAGTAAATTGAAATCCTTCAGACAGAATTGTTTTATCTAAAATTTGTACAACCAAATGGACAAATTTAACTAGATTGTTTCGTTTCTCATCTCAAGGACCCCAAGGATTTTAGTTAAAATGAAGGTTTTGCAAAATTTAGAATTTATGATAAATTTGATTCGCTACAATTTCAAAAAATTTGTTGTTTGTTTGTTGGTTTTTTTAATGGATTTATGATTTTAAAGAGTAATTTACTTGGTATCCTTTTTTTATAGAAATTTACTTGGTATCCTTACTTATCTGTTGGTAACTAATTTTATAAATAAACTATCTAATGTTGTTTTTTTGTTGCTTGTGTTGTATTGTACCAATACAGTTACTGTAACACTCTAGCTCGGCCGAGCACTACTTTTACCAAAATGCCATTGAGTAATCAAATAACTCGAAATGAAAAGAACAACATAAATAATTTCAAGGCACTATAGAAAATTCCTCTTAACAAATCATAAATGAGCATTAGTCTCAAGCCTACAATTAAAAGTACGTGAGTGAAAAGGGTTCACTTGAAAACTTTGGTCATCACTAACCCTTGTGAAGATGACATTTTGATCAGCAGCTTCCTCCTGACGAGTGATCGATTACTTCCGTTTCCTTGCGGCTCCTAAGTGCGGGCGATGGTATGTTATTGGGTACATTAGTAAAAGTATCTTATTATTAACATATTCTTGCTTATAATCTTTTCTTCTTACTTAACTTGATATGGGATCCCGCCCTCGACCTAACTAGCACATCCGTCCGGCACCAACGTATCATGAACATAACCTCCTCATCTACAAGGAGTAACATAGCATACCTCCCCATCTACAGGGAGTAGTGGTGACCGCGTCCGGCACCGACAATCATGACCCCTCATCTACAAGGTGCTCCTCATCTACAAGGAGTAAGGTGACCGCGTGCGACTAGCTAAGTGAGGGTTCTTATTCGTACTTATTAACTTGATATCATACACGTGCTTGCTTGAAACAACCTCTCACACGATGGAGAGACATATATACTTAATTTTGTACTTGCTTACTTGACTTGATAAGTCTGAGCTTACTTAGGTGATCTCCCGCACAATGGGAAGATGTAAGCTTATTCACTTACACTTAATTAGCTTATAGTTGAACTTGTATTGGCTTGACTCCTAACCCAGTTTACTTATGATCCAATGATGCTATGCATACTTAATGTAAAAACTTAATGTAAGCAAATTAACATAATATAAAAGCATATAAGGAATGACTAAAACATAAAGCGTGAACTGAAATGCATAACATAAACGTAAATGCATAGATTGATAACGAAAACTACTCTAACCTCCTTTAACCACACACCTTAATTTCAAGTCGATTATCAATTTATATCTTGCCTCGGTGATGACAAACGTTCTTATAGGCCTTGTACGTGTCCATGCACCGTTTTCCTTCTTCCTTTACCTTTCCCCTCGGGATAGAACACGTTCAGCTCACCTGATTATATACCCGTATAAATCCATTTTCGATTTCGATTTCATTAATTCAACCCCCTTAATATAATTAAACTGCCATGCATACCATCCACGTAACTAAACTTAGTTACTAATCCATCACAATATATATATATGGTGACTACTTCGGTGCACTCACAAAAATGAGTGCGTTCAATGCACCCAACTCAAAAACTAGTATTAAGGTGTCGAATTTTAAATTTTAAATTTTAGAATTAGTTTAATATGATAATATAACATATGATAACAACTAATTAGCGGATTACCCTAAGCCCTAGACCTCCAATTTTGAGTTTTATCCCTAAACCCCAAATTGTAAACCCTAACCCTAACCCTAAATCTCTAAACTCTAAATATTTCAAATTAAAGTAAATCTTTAATGGTTTTTGTGCAAATTCATGTGAGTTATTGTTCATTACATCATAAGTGATGATTGACAGCATTTTGACATAAATCGCATGTTTAAAATGGCGGTTATGAAGTGAGTGCACTGAATGCACCCAAAAAAGTGAGTGCACCGAAAACCTCACCATATATATATATATATATATATATGGTGGCGTATTCGGTGCACCCACTTTTTCGGGTGCACTCAGTGCACCCGCCTCATAATTGTCATTCTGACCGTGCGATTCATGTCAAAACGGTATCAATTGTTGCTTATGATATTATGAACAAGAAGCACATGAATTTGAAAAAAATTCATTCAAAATTTACTTTAATTTGAAGGATTTAGGATTTAGGGATTTAGGGTAGGGTTTAGGTTTACAATTTGGGATTTTGGGTTGGGATTCAAAATTGAAGGTTAAGGGGTTAGGGTAATGGATTGATTTGTTATGATTCTATGTCATATCATCGTATTATATTGAGAGTACTAATTAAAGTTCAAAATTTGATGTATTATGGACGAGTGCACCCAAAAAAGTGAGTGCACCGAAGTAGCCACCTATATATATATATATGGCAAAGGCTAGCGTACGCCCGGACGTACCCTAGCCTACCGTACGCCCGTTGAGTTTTGCTATTTATACAAAGAATTGATCGGAGTTTGGGACATGATACTATACCCTAACCCCTAATGGGTGAATCCCAGTCCACAATTCACTAACCCAAAGCATAATATTCATTTAATCTTGAAATGAAAATCAACGGTTCTGATTCGTCGAAATTATTGTTGATTTTCATTTTAAGATTAAACGAATCTCATGATTTGGGTTAGAAAACTAGGGGCTAGGGTTTATCCATTAGTGGTTAGGGTATAGTATCATGCCCAAAACTCTGGTTAATTCATGATCTAAATAGCAAAACTCAAACGGGCGTACGGTAGTCTAATGTACGCCCGGGCGTACGCTAGCCTGAACCATATATATATATATATATAAGCATTCGTAGCTCGTCCCTTTAAATAATGACCGACTGCAACTACCACCGTCTCCAATTATCACCGAGTCTACAATAAAATGGACGATCGAGGACAAATCCATTACCTCTTGTTTACACTACAAAAATAATCGTGTACCACATTGATTATTATTAACTGTCTTTATAAGGCCAGGTCAACAATAACAATTAATGTTATTTAAACTGGGCCTACGATACTAGATTTTTAAACCCAAGTGATTAGGCCTGACATGATGCGTGAGAATAAACTAAGTCTGGTGCCTCATCGCGACAAGCCTCCTCGCGTCAAGTTGGTAGACCCCCTTGTCGCGACAAACCTCCTTGTTTAAACACATCGCGAGTCTACAAGATATGTGGGGAGAAGGTCACAAAATAAACTAAGTTCAAGCGCCAAGCCTCCTCGCGTCAGGCCACTTCGCGAGTCCGCCAAGCCTCTACTAAGTCTAAGCGCCAAGCCTCCTCGCGTAGAGTTTGGTAGACCGCCTCGTCGCGACAAGACTCCTCGCGCCAAGTTTGGTAAACCACCTCGTAGCATTGTCATCATGTTTGACAAACCGCCTCGTCGCGAGATCTGGAATAGCCATGGTAAAGGAAAGGGCAAGTAACTAGACGTCAGTTCCAAAAGGGAGAGCCGACGGTTTGATTGAGAAACTGTCAATTACTCCATGTTCAAGGACACGTCAGCCACGTCCGAGGAAGAAGGGGAGCAGTTCTTTTTGGAAGTTACTCTCAGACAGTTTTTCTACGACGGTTACCACTTCAAGGCTATAAATAGGAGGAGGAGTTGACAGAGAAGAGGGTCGTCAAATTCACACCAGACAACACAATGTCTAATTTTATCCCTTTATCCTTTCCTCTGCAATTTTAGCCGTAGTCGTAGATCTGGAGCTCTCACTGAACCTCCATAGGAGTAGGGTAATTTAATTTAGATTCTGTCTCGTGAGTCGTGTAAACATCGAACACCCTCGTTCGAACTGTGTTTGAAGAGGTGTGAACCGTGTCTTAGTGATCGTTGTCCAAAGAAGTCAAGGTGCAATCAATTTATTTTAACACAAGTTTTCTCGCCGGAGAACAAATTTGGCACACCTGGTGGGACCCTTGTGGTCGATTCAATGGCTCCGAGGCGGAGCAACCAAGAAGGTGACGTTCCGGCTGGATTTGTGGAAGAGCAGGTGGCCAACATTGAGCATGGCCAAGCGTCCGACGCGGTGACCAGAGGAAACGGTGGAGCAGAGATCTTGGTGGCAACCGCGCCTGGTGGAGATCTCGGTGAAGCAGTGGGGGCCCTTCGTCAGATGATGGAGGAGAACCGCAAGATGGTGGTTGACAACCTTCGAGCCACGGAGGAGAACCGCCAAATGCTGGTGGAGAACCGCCGCATGATGGAGGAGATTCGGGCTAGTACACATCAGGTAAATTCTCAAATTGACTGTCTCAATTCTCGCATTGATAGACGTTTCAGTCAATTATTTGAGTTGGTTAACAAAAACACAAATGAGTTGGATCAGTTTCGACAAACTCTAACTAGACCAGTAGTGCAGTCAAGAGCTTTGCCAGTAGATGGCACAAGCCCAACGCCTACTAATAACGTTCCTTCTCCCGCCGGCGGTCGAAATAGCCAACCACGGCAAGAGAACTTGCCGCCTCAGACGGCAAGCCAACCACCTCCACGTCGAGTAGATGATGTTGAGATTCCTGCTACTGCTCAAGTAGGGGAGTCGTCACATGGACGCGTGGGAGTTGAAGTGGTACCCCCGCGTGGTGAGAACCTCGCCGCCATGTTCAACACTCGAGC